CAGGACTTGTTGTAAGTGGATTCCACTGTATAATCGACTGTGAATATTTTATTTTGATTTATTTTTTAGGTCTGTGTGTTGTTTGTTGTGAGCTTGGGTGACAGGATAAAGGAATTTGGACCTCAAACCCTTTCGATCATTTGACCTTCTGGAATGTAGTTGTGAAATTATATAAAACAGAACCCTTACCTCATGGCCACATTGCTTCAACGTCCTTTATTCGCCTCTATTTTTAATCCTTTTAGCCATTTTCGAGCATGAATAGTCTGAAATATAAACGACTTAACGTCACTATGAATGACTCATCAGGACTCTGATTGGTTAAACGGAGTAAGAATGGTTACTCGTAGCCCGCTTCAAGCTTTTTTATGTAAACAGCTGACTGTGTAAGCGTGCCCTGCTTGCTCAGTTATGGGCTGTTGATCTTTCAGTTTTGCACTTTGATTGACTGTAAAAGTTTGTTTTTATTGTGTTTTAGTGGGTTTTTTAAAAGACTGATATCTTCCTCTAGATCTCCAAAGGTGGATTCCTTACCAAGAGGCCACCGAGGCATCCATGTGTGTGTGTTTCTGTATGTTTGTGAAATTGTGTGTGTATTTGTGTGTGCATGTGTGTGTGTGTGTATGTGTGTGCACTCATGTGTTTATAGTACTATTGCAAACGTATAAGATGGGTAAACACGGCACGTAAAAGCTCGCGGACTTCCAGCACGTGGTTTCGGTGAAAACGAGGTAATTCAGATCCTTTTTTCTTTGCTCTTTCGCTATAACAGCACCAAATGCTGTACACCTTGAAAAAGTTAAGCTTTTTTTTTTTCGTTTCAATAGTGTAATTTGTTTCTTTTTCCGCGTATTTGGAGCTAGAGAATCGCCGTGGAAAGCGAAGACCTTCGCGGTCGGAATGTGAAGTCTGCCGGTTCAAAAAATTAACACCCATGCCTTGGAATGCTTTGAAGAAAGAGTGGTGATTAAATACCGTCTTTTCATTGGCAAACAACTTCTTTAGAGTTTTGAACTGGGCTTCACGTGGTATATTTTTGGCTTTTGGCGTTTAAATAGAAAGTCTTTAAAAATTGTACAAGTTTTCAAAGATCATTTTTAACTCGAATTATGTAAAATACCGAACAAAAAAAGTACCAATAGAAAGATCAGTTCTTTTTCTATTAGAATAAAGTCATCGGTTTGGAATTATGTTACATTTGCATCATCCTTTCGCAAAACTCCTGGAAGTACTCAGTACACTACAGTCAGAACCAATTCGCTGGCCGCGGGGACCGGTGCGGCGCCGGCCGGGACAACACTCAGTGTTCTTTTTAAAATCGAAATAACGATGGATCATCGTGTTTGAGGCAATACAATACAGATTTGTTATGATCTCACAGTCTTGAAAAAAAAAATCTGGCTCCATTTCTATGTTATAGTGATTGTACTCTGTTAATGTCAAGATGTTTGGTGCACTTGGTACTCTTTATTATCTGTTAAACATGGGGTGGCATCCGGTTAGCGAATTTAGCAATATTCAATTATAATAATATTAAATTAAAACAGCCGCCATTTTAAAAAAAATTGAGTGAGAGGTAAACGTATGGAACCAAAATTTACAGGAGACACGGGCCTTTTATATGAAACAGATAAATTTGACCTACAGCTACTTTGAAAATGTAGTTTCTGGTACCTTGTAGGGCCTTCAATGCTAACCCGTTGTTGCATTTGAGGTGAAGATCATTCTCATTAAAATTTTGTTTTGTCTCTAAGCTTTTTTTCTGTCAATGAATCGTTTTCTACTTCTGTGTGTTACCTTGTAGTGGCGTAGCCAAGATAACTGCCAAATTTCAAGTCTATCTCAATTCTAATTAGACACCCGTCACTATGAAAACATGCTGTCAAACCTAAAAAATAAGTTAAGTACTTTCATTATTTTGAGTTCTGTTTCTTTACATTTGCTACCATTTTTTTGTTTCATATTGTACAGGAATTGTACATAATGTTAGACTAGTTTCCCAGGATAAGTAGGCTGTATGGCCAACTAAAACTGCCTGAACAGTAAACAAAATGTGTGATTTGTTAAAAGTCTGATTTACTGCTGCGTCCTGTTTAAATCCTTTTTTATACTGAAAGTAAAGCAATACTTAACAAAGGGACTTATTATATGCCTATTATTTCAGTCATATATTTTTTAGTAGCCTACACTTTAGAAACATCTCTTAACCTAGATTTGGCTAACTTAATCTTCTGGATTGTATTTGTTTAATCAAATTGAGAAATGAATATTCTATAACATGTTTTCACTTTCACACAGGGTTCTTTTTTATAATTATAATGGTAATAATAATAATCATAAATAACTTTAATAATAATGATAATAATCATAAATAATAACAATAACTATAATAATATGAATTTATATAATGCCTTATCCCTGGAAGACTCTAAGCTCTGTAAAATGCAGATTTACCATTCAATATAACTGACAAATCAAAAGACAAAAAATGTACATTTTGAGACCAGTCAACAAAACACACACACACACACACACACACACACACACACACACACACACACACACACACACACACACACACACACACACACATGCGCGCTCACGCACACACAAATGCACAACTTCCAGTTTCACACTTTGTCTCACATACAAAAAGTACTGGCAGAGAATAGGGTTAAATATGTTTAGCAAAGACTTTTTAAATTCCCTCTCTGATTACAATACTTTTGGGAAGAAATTAGAAATCTTAGGGGGCATGGGAAGATAAAGCAATTTTTGTTTTTTATCTTTTGTCTATCTTTTGTCTTCTCCTTTCAGGTTCTCAAGATGTAGCCCATGACTTTGAGACTCTGAAAAAGTTTGGTGTGACTCATATCCTCAACGTGGCCACAGGCGTGGAGAATTTATTCCCAAATCATTTTACGTATCAGACTCAAGAATTTCGCGATTTGCCTGAATTTCCAATCTTCCATGGCTTTGAAAAAGCCATCAACTTCATAGACGAAGGCCGCTCATCTGGAGGGTGTGTTCTTGTTCACTGCAATGCTGGGATTTCCAGATCGGCGGCTATTGTCATGGCATACCTCATCACAAAGAACAAGATGTCTGTAAATGAATCATTTTCTTATCTCCGCTCAAAGAGACCCCCTACATGTCCTAATCCAGGCTTCCTGATTCAGTTGCAGACTTTGTATGAATCACTCCATCCGAAAGAATAGGTAGCAGATGAGTGTTCTAGCTAGATTATAACGCTATTGTGCTATCTTTCTCAACATGTTTCTGGTCTTTTGAGATAGTTAGCTCTAGAAGATTTGATAAGATACATTATATTTTATTAATCTCTCATTTGAAGAATTTGGCAGTGAGCTTTCACCATTTTCCCCAACACAAAATATATGAATAACATCATATCAACCTATCACATTCTCCCTCTGTCTCTCCCTGCCTCCCTCCCTTCATTGCTCCCTCCCTTCTTCCCTTCCTCCCTGCCTGGCTCCCTTCTCCCCTTTCTTGCTGTCTCTCTCTTTGTCTATCTATCTTTCACTCCCCCCCCCCTTTCTTCCAAACACATAGCTTGGTGACTCTACTGACAAACACCTAACATATATGAAATTTGATTTGAGGGTGATCACAACTTCTTTGGATGAAAATTACATCGTTCATTTTGCTGTATGTAAAACAGATTTCCTAATTATTGAATGTAAATAATGGTACATCTTGTTGTCTCTTTACATCCTAGAAATGTGTACGTCTGCAGTTAATCTAGGGCAATGACACTTTTTTATTAAAAACAGTGTGTGATTTTTCAGCAGATAAGATTGACTTCGACTTTGACTCTTGATGCTTGTGAACTTCTCACTGATATGACAATCAACATCAAGCAACATTGTAATGTGAGGGACAAAGATTGATTAAATTTTTTTTAATGATTTTTAAGTCTAGATTATAAATTTTGCCTCTCAGTTAAACTATAAAAATTTAGCTGTGTCAAGTTAACTTTTTGATAATTAACTCTTACTATTTTTTATTTTTACTGTGGTTGAACTTTTTTGTCAAAAGTAGAGATGCTATGTATTTTTATTTTAATGATTACAGCAGTCTCAATCAACGTCCTCAGTGCTTGGGAGGAAGGAAAATGCGGGATCATATGCGAAGGGGATCTTACCTAATTCATCAGAGGGAAGAATTCAAGGTGACTCATGATGAGGCCCACAATTGATAAAATGATCCTCTCTAACTTTAAAATGAACTGACATGACCCATGAGTTATAGTGCAGTGTGGTTTTGAGGAAAGAAAGCTTCATAAACACTTCGGAGCATGAAGTCACATGTGTGAATGGGTTTTTTTCTTATGTAGCCTATTAGTCCATCAACAATGTTTGCTATTCAAAATTTATAATTTGTTGCACTTTTCATTCAGTAGGCTTACTATTTGCCCAAGCCAGTAATAATTCTTAGCTTTGTGTATGTCTTCCTTTTAACTCATTCTCTGCCCATTTTCACTTGGGCACAGAGCTGAAAGACAAGTGCAATTGTCAAGGAAACAAAAGCACCAACAAGTTGACAGTTTGATGTGACCCTGTCTGATGCAGCCTCCCAGTGTGTCATGAAATCTAATGTAAGCCCAATAATTGGGCTCAAATACAGATACAGAAAACAAACAGATCCAAAAGTTCAGCACCTCAGATTGATCTCATCTGGAGCAAACATTGTACCCCCTCATCAAGATTTGCAGTGGAGGTATTATTGTATTCACGAGAGTGGATGATCTGTGATGCAAGGGGCAGCTCAATGATAGCAAATTTTCGCTGCTGGTTGATTAACTGTGCATGCTTGAATTTTTGTTCAGTAAATTATGATCTGAAATGAGGGATCTTAGCAGTATTTAGTACCTTCTGAGTGGGATTTTTAAGGATGACATTTGTGCAGTCAAAATTTTTTGTTCTTAAAACAGAATCTGAAGTAAACAGGGATCATAAGTGGTGGGATTGTTGGTTGAGACTACTGTATTACAATGCTTTAGGCCAAGAAATCCATACTTGCCTGTTTGTTTGAGGTGTTGTTTTCAGATCTGATTTTCTTACGCAAATCTTAGAAAAGCAGATCCAAAGAGCATGGTATAAAATATTTGTATGTCTTATTTAAGAATTGACATGACTTTGAATGTAATAAGTGCTGTGAAATTGTTTGTTAAGGTACCATGTCCTGTTGGTTTTACGTAAACTTCATGACCGTATACTGCACAGATTGGTGGTATGTCATGTATATTCTGTGTCCTTGTGCATATATGATTATTGTAATAAATGAACTTTGAAATGCTTTTATAATTTTGATACTGATACTATTTTGTAGTATGAAGAGTGCTTCCGTTCCTTACAGTTTATAGTCTTCATTAAAATAGTAATGTTGATAAAGTTTTATACTTCTTCGATCATGAAATGCTCATCATCTCAATGGTGAGAACTTTACTGAAATCATTATCATTGCCACTGTAAAAAGGAATGTCAATCTTTGACAAGTGAGATCTGTTTTTTTCCTCATTAAAGGTAAATTATATTCAGCTGTCCAGTTGCTTATTTATTCAACTGTTGTATTCAGGGTCAGTCTTTGATATTCATCTTTGATATTTGTTCAATATTGTTAAAAAAATGTGAACCTGGTTGGGTTTTTTTCAGACTTGGAGACATCCTTACAACTGAATTTACAGTTGAGAGTGCATATATTACATTGCATAGAATGGTATTGTTCTCTTACTGTAAAGCAAATACGTGCATTTATGAGTAACGACGAAAGAATTCATGTTATTATTTTTTTGGAGGGCACATTGGGGAGCATTTCTCACATAAATGCATCAGTTTCCCTAGTGTAATGGCTAGGTTTTTTGACATTGTACACAAAATGTAGTTCGATTCATTCGAAAGTTCACTTTTTTTATTAACTCTGTCTGGCTGATGGAATTTTGAATCCCACTCAGCCCAGGTTTACTGTGACAAATAGGGTCAAACAAACCTGCCCTTGGAATTATCTAAACCGCACCAAAGAAGAAGATATTTGCATGCACATGGATGCCACACAAAAGGGTGAAGGGGATAAATTTGAAATTATGGTGTGAAAATTTCATAAGATAGTCGGAAATGGTGTGCTTTTTTTCTCATTTATTTTTGGATATGAAACTCCAAATTTTTTAGTTCAGGATTTATTTATATTTGTTGAAACTAAATGGTTTTCAAATTCCTTTTTAGTGTTTGGATTTTCAGATTGATTATTCATTATTTCTACAATTTCAAATTTGGAATGTCTATCGAAATATCATGCAGATAGTTGTGTGACTTCCTGCAAGTTGTTTATATCAGTACTAGTTACCTTAGTATTTAGAAGCTCTTAAAGTGTGCCGCTGCTGATCTGAAATATATTGTTATTTGTGAGACCACCGAACCACAATCATATTTGTTCTATAGTCAGTATACTACAGTAGTGTTTGTTGGAGTTATTTAGTTATTTGAAGAAATCTGCCCCTGCTCCCCCCTCCTTAAAAAAAAAAAATTTACTACTTTCATGTTATTTGCTGACTCACATTGGTTTGGTTGTTGTAACTTGACAATTGGTCTATACACTTACAAATTTTCATGACACTTTGGTAACCCATCATCTTTATAATAAAGATTGCCATAGTTTGTTTGTTTAACTTTGGCCTTAGACAAAAGGTTGACAAAATGTTTTGATTTTGGCCAAAGTCTGACTTAAGCTATTATTGTAGATTGTTGACAAAATGATTGCCTGTTGGGACACAGTTTGGCCTTTTTTAGTTACTCATTGCAATTTTTTCTACTGCTGTGTCTCCAACACTATAACTATGTGCACTCAGGCTGTGCGTTTGTTGAGGCAATTTGTATTCCACGTTTATTTCACCTAACATATCACAGATGAGTATAATTCATGTCCTTGACCAAACTTTCAATCATCAATCAATGCAGAAATTCCAAAAGTAGGTTTCCTTCTTCATTATGGTAGATAAAGAATACTATATATACTATACAAAATTTTTCCGTTGATATTAAAAACATGATCATGTACCTTATATTATGAGGAAACTTTCAACTTTGCAACTGCAACAAAATTTTTGTTTCTTTTTTCTTGTTTATTGAAGATTTCTTCACCTCTGATGTCTCTGTATGTCTATCTTACCTTTTCTGTGCATAACAGTTAAGTCAATGTGCTTCTCTATACACAGAACTTCATTTTAAAATATCATTGTATAGAAGCTTCTGTTGCCCCTAATCCTGTGCACTGGTTCATACGGATGTATACCTTGGAGCATACAGGAAAGTTTTCTGTGTATCTGAGAATGTAGTTTTTATTCTAATGTTCTTTACTGAGGACAGTTGTACATTGGTATTGTTTTCTTTTTCTTCCCTCAGATAAATATTTAATTGAAAAACTGGCTGTGAAGTTATGTTTACATGAAGCTTCTCATGCCCGAAAATCGCTAGTTCATTTATACATGGAAATGTACACGGTCTTTGTGTTGGAACCAATGTTATTTTTAACAATTTATTTTTGAAAGGACAGTCGTATTTTGTTTTTATTTTCTTAGCTTGGCAAATGAGATAATGAAAAGACTGGCTGTGAAGTTTTGTTTTCATGGAGTTTCTCTAGACCCAGACCAAGTGCACTGGTATACATATGAGCAAATAAGAGCAGCAGTGTAATTTTGAATTTAAATGCAATTCGTATTCTTCTAGTTATTTCACAAAGACTTGTAGGGGCCTACATTGGTTTTGGAGATTTTTTGGGGGGGCGGGGGGGGGGGGGGGGGTATTACCTCAACTAATTAGATAACGCAAAGATTGGCTGTGAAGTTTTATTTCCATGAAGCTACTTTTGTGTCAAAACAAGTGCACTGCTTCACGAATGTGTATGTGTACTTGAAAGCACCCAAGGAAAATATTTTACCATATGTTTCTGATTTTTTTCAAAAGGACTTCCCCATTACTACTATCGTTTTCTTTCTCATCCTTCTCCCAATTAGTTTGCTGAACAACTATCTCAGAAGGTTTTGTTGGCACACAGTATTGTGCTGTCTTTTAAAACAAAATACCCCTCCGGGGAAGTGCCACTGACTGTAGTGTCTTTAGGCCATTCCCAAAGGGGGGACATTTCTCGTTCAAGCACAGTAGAATTGTAAATGGGCTGACTCATGTCATGCTCATAACTGTGCCTGATCCACAACAGGGAACTGCTGCTCTTTCTTTCCTGATCCTTACTCATGTCATTTTCCTCTACTTCTTTTGTATGTTTGTAACTCTCTTGTGACCTGCTATTTCCGGGGTGCCTTGATAGTCGAAGCAGACCTTGTGCTGTTGAAGTTAGAGAGGTGAGCAGTCTAAGTCTGATTCCCTGTTGACACCCACCCCGTGGCACTCATATGACCTTATGCAGTTGCGAGCGCCGTAAAACCCTCGACTATAAAAAAATAAAAAATAAAAAATAAATCTGCAAGTGGTTGAAAGGTATCATTGGTAGGTCCTTCTTATTTACTGTGTTTCTGTTGTTCCTGTCTGTATATCTTGCTTTTTTTTCAGGACTTAATGTCCATTATTGTGATGAGGTGGTTATTTTTACTTTAAACACTATTTTAAAAAACCCAATATTTTCTCTGGCGGGTCTTACTTTTTTTTTTTCTCTATTTTTTTCCCCCCTGTCTGTCCTGTTCTTTCCCAGCACTAAATACCATCATTGTGTTGATTTGCTTCCCTTGGCTCCAATTATAAACAAACTTACATAAAAAGGGCTTTGGTCCTGTGGCACAGTGCCATATTACAATTTAGGGGGAGATTTTTGTAGAATTGTTAAGTACATGGTGTAGTTTTGTCTAAAATGTTGAGTTTTTTAATTGGCTATGAGGGAAGAAGTTGACTTCTGAGGTCAATAGGTGGGTGGTTGGGGAGTGCGACTGGTCAGTCCTACTTCTTTACTCTCCCTCAGTTGTTTCCCTGTTAGTTTTGCTTTTTTCGAGCTTAAAATCTCTATGTACTTCTTTTAGCTGAAACTAAATTTAACTTACGTTTCTAAGGACAATGCAGGCAAATAACTAATGTTGAACTGTCTCCTCCATCTGTGAACTTTGTGGCTGTTCGTTTTGTTTATTACTCTCTGATTCTGCATAGACTCTGATAGAGCGTACCAGCATCTGTGGTGTAACAGTGAAGCTCTTCGTTGTAGCACACAGAGAACATGAGTTTGATTCCCAAGTCGGAAAATTCATCAAGTATGCTGGGATGTTGTCATTGTCTCCCACCGGTCTGGCTTTGTTGTGACAGGCAGGGTTGACGCAATTTGCCTTCTAAATTATCTAAATTGTGTCAATGGGGGCACAAAACATTAGAATTACAAATAAAGTGTGGAACGATCTGTTCTCATGATGTAGACGGGATTTTTCAGTGGTAGACAGTAGTAGGCTATATTTTGTGGAAGCAGAAAATATCCGGGGAATACAAAAGTTGATGGGATTTAGCTCTTGATACCATATCGAAATATAAAAAGAGTAGCCATGGTGTAGTGCGTTAGACTTGCCATTGTCAACTTGTAAGTTTTATTCATGTCTCCACTGTATAGAACAGTTTTTCCTTATATCCAGTGCCCGTTGGCACGATTGGATCTGTTTGGTAGGAGGGGCTAGCCAGATTGAGGAAAAAAAGCGACCATTGTGGCATAAACCAAACGAAGCTGAAGGTGATCTTAAAAAACAAGCGTGTTTGTTTTCAAGGCCGCGAGTCGGGTGATCAGTTTGTTTTAGAGAACCGATCCCCCAATGGGCACTGGATAATAGAAAAAGTGCTGCACTGTATTAGACCGTAACATCATAGATGCTGGTACACTCAGTTCAGACAGCTGTAAATAGGTACTTGGCAATCAATAGAGATGGGGTTCATACTATTTATAGTATATGAATGATGGTGATGCACATACATATAATATATATATATATAAATATAACATGCTGTAAACTGTAATGTTTTATATCATGGGGGGGATTGAAATATTAAGACTGGAATGAACTATCAGATGTAGGGCATAATTTGTAAAGTCTTGTGAGCCTTTTGAGGGATACATAACTATAGATTATGTTTTTCAAGATTTAAAAAATGTATGTTTCTTTTCATAGAATACTTTCTATCACTGAAAAAATACTCCTGGCAATAAGTGCTGGTGCTTTTACTTTTAAAGCATGGCATGAAATTGTTGTTCATGATATTGTCAAAATGTTTGATCTGCAGAAGAAAAGCCTAAGTATGATTTGAATTAAATGAAGTTCTTACTACTTCTATTTCCATTTGTATTTCCAGTTATTGTGCATGGACATTAAATTTGATGTCTTGTCTTTTTTGTGTGTGCATATTTCAGTCTGGCATTTTCTGTGCATTTACAAGATAATAGTTACATGTAGTTATCACATCACCTTCCCTCTACTGCCTCTGCTCTCTGCTGCTACTTCTTCATTTGCCCCATTATAATTATGTGTGTGTGTGTGTGCTTGTGTGTGTGTGTGTGTGTGTGTGTGTGTTCACACTGGGTCCTGACTCAGATTTTCACACTCATAAATTTCTAGCAGAGATTTTTACAGATGTTTCTCATCAAAGAAGATCGAGGAAGAAATTCTGTTTGAAAAGGAATCCAAATGGTAGGAAGGTGGCTCTAGCAGGTCCTAAATCTTTTTGCTCCCCGTTGTTCTTATCTGTCCTTCTTGCTATTTCCTTACACTTGTCGGTCATTATTGCGTGGTTGTGCTCTCTTTACTCTATCAAGCAAAAGAAAAATCAAAGGAATATAAAAATAAACCAGTCTTCCTGTGCCTCCCTCCTATTGCGCACTGGAGATACAGAAAAGTGGGAATCCATAACTTATTCATAGACACAGAATATTCTTGTCAGCTAAGCTCAGTCATCGGAGCTTATTGTCAAAGAGCTGATTTTCCATTTTTTGTAACTCATAGAAGCCTTTAGAGTTAACTGTTCTGAAAGAAAAGATGGGATGGGAGAGGGAGGGGTCTTCATAGTAATCTTAAATGCAGAGTTGGAAAATGTAAATTGATTCTTTTCACAAGACTATACAGTGGGTGCCGCATTCATCGAGTTCACATTCAACGAGAAGTCTGCTCCAACGAGGCAATCCTTAATCCCCGATTTTTCCTCTATATCTCTTTGTAAATGTACGTCGGCTCCAACGAGGTTGAAAACAGACCGAAGTCGCTTTCAACGAGGTCGCGATAACCAAATGAAAGCAATTAGCGGCCCCAAAAGCGAAGAATTTTTCTCCTTTCTCTCTTTCTCACGCGAAGCACAAGGCCCATCATCGATTCCTAACACACTGTATTGCTAGATCTAGTGTGCCTCCTAATATGGGCCCCAGAGCCAAGAGGATGGGCAAGGATTAGCCTACGGTAGAGATGGGAGGGGATGGGTGGGAACACGATGCCGGCTGTGTGAAACTGGATGAACTGTGGATGGGTAGGTCTAGATCGAGATCTTCATTTTTTTCAATTTTCTTTTCTCCCCCTGATCAGAAAATCCAAGCTCCTGTCTTTACTTTATGTAGATCTAGGCCTAGGCGTGAGAGGGTATGTTTCCACTCGAGAAGTGTTCCAGGGAAAAACATAAATTTTTTATGCAGAAATGATGGTCAGACCACAGCTCAAACACGCGCACACTGATGCTGTTTGAGATTTTTGTCATTAGGGGGAACAAATGTTTTAATTACTAGATCTAGTATTGATCCTATAATACAGTGGAATCCTGTTATAACGAGAGGGAGGGGACCGGTGCGAAACATCCATTATAACAGGATTCTCGTTATAATTATAAGGGACCCAGTAATAAATTCAAGGGAAATAGTACAGTAGGCCTAATCTATAAGTCTGGTTTTCTGTTCGTTTCTTTTTGTAATCTCCCCTGATGATGATTTGGTTCAACGTGATCTCGAGGTCTTACTTGATTAAAAATCGAATAAGGTTTCTTTCTCTATCGCTAGCGATGTTGACAGCTCGGCGTCGGTGATCAGAAAAAAAGTTCTCTAGGCTAACTCGCCCCACCACACCCTGTGGTGCGTTCCGTCTGCTTGCGCACGTCCCACATTGGATCCATCCATCACAGTCACATCATTGTGACCTCTCCATCCCCGCATCGGAGAAGTGAGAGGCGTGGTAGGCCTAGATAATCTAGACTAGGCTGACCTATCACGTGATGCATTCTGCTTGTCTGTGCATGCCACTACCACATCCTCCCCACTCATTCGCTCCGCCTTCCTTGTTGGCACACGTGGGCTCTCCCATTCTGTTTCGCAAGATCACCAACAACCGGCAAGGTTTTGCATGAATAAATGGCCTGTACGGTGTGCACAGCAGCAGCAATATTCCGCTATAACCGACTCGCATGTTTGTCTGATTGCGCTATAGCAGTATTTTATTTACAAAGATAAAGAAGGGAAAAAACGGGGTTTTAGAATAGTGTCTTTATAACAGATTTCTCGTTATTTCAGGACTTGTTGTAAGTGGATTCCACTGTATAATAACTTGTCTCCTTTCTTTACTTTAGCTTTAGTCACGTTCTGCGAGAGGTCGGATCCAACGAGGACAACCAGCCGGTCCCGGCAACCTTGTTGAATGCGACACGCAATGTATAAATAAATTGGTAGACCGTCAAATTTATTTAAATCTAAACAAGTTGTCAGGCCTGTCCAGCAGTAGGCCTAGACTGGCAACTAAATCAGAATCATCGCGGTAGACTGACAGCTAAATCGGTATCCGAAATCCCGTTGTTACCGAGACTGTCGTGGACCCATTGCAGGTCCAGCCCAGTTATCAAGTTCATACGTTTGGCAAAATTCTCATTAGCCTAGCTGAATTAATCACACCGTCACGTATTTGGATCCAAAGCCAGAGGTCACATCCGGGAGGGTCACCCAATCGTACTTTCGTTTTCATTTCTCTCGCGAATTTATCTTGGCCTATCTTCTCAATACACCACAGGTGTACTGTTTCGTGTAAACTATAACAAGGCGATTAAAGTTAAAGGATCATGGACGCTTTTTAGCCCAGGTTTGTATAGTTGACTACAAGATAACGCATAGATCTACGTTTGGAACAACAGTAGATATCTAGATCTAACCAACAAGGAGTTCAAAATGAATCAATGAAACCGTGTTGTTACTAGATCTAGGCCTATTAGATTTGATTAGATAGATCAAAATCAAGGAAATCTAGATTCTAGATCTAGATCTAGACTCTACTAGAGTCTAGATAGATCTACTTACTGTGTTGCAAAGTTTTAAGCAAGTGTAGCCACAACTTTCACAATTGAATACCGGTAGGCCTACATAAAACTGGTAAATTTTTACTTTCACTCCCGCACTCGGATGCACTGCTTCGGGGGTCAAACTACAGCACTGTTTGCTGCACAGTTATCACACGTAAAGCCACTGTAACTGTCGCAAATCAATTATTTTCATGAAAATTTCAAATCTTAACTAATATATCAAATTATGGGTTGAAACAGGCCCCCCTGTAACCCCCCAGATTTTCTTTTACCTCAGGCTCAGGCCCCCCCGTGGAACCCCCCGATTGGTCCAAAGCCTGTCTATCTCGATTTTTAAGAACAATCAAATATTTCAAAAACTATTAATTTGCGACGGAAATGAAGTTGATATTCATGTTCAGCGCATCCATATTTAGTAGAAAATGGACAAATAATTGGTAGCTGAGTGTGAGGCGGGAAGGAAAGTAAAAAAAAATACCAACTCTATTCCCTCACCCCCAGGACATGTTACTCACGTATTTGCTGGTTCAGCTTAAATACCTGTACCTGTAAAGATGTTCTTGTGATATTGATTGATTTCCTAGATCTGGATCTATATAGAGTGAGATAGCAAATAGGCCTAAATGTTCGAGGTTGAACTTGCGGAGAAGGCTTCACTTTTATGGGGGGGAGGAAAGTTCCAGAGGCCCAACTGATAGTATCAAGGGCTGACTGTCCAGTCGGCAAGCAATGATCAAAACTTCACACCTCTCAAGTGCTATCCTAGCCTCTCTGAATAATGGCATGCATCAGTGTAAGGCCGACTTATACCTATTTCTTTTGCCACAAGTGCTTGCATCTCATATTCACGCCACTGTTTGACCTATTAAAAACAGAAATTAAATGATTGAACATCTCCTTTGTTTTCACCTTTAGCCCCACCCTTCGGCATAATAAGCATAATCAACCAGTGCCACCCCTCCCCGCGTATGAAATAAAATTCAAGATTTCATACCCACCCCACCCTACCATCTGCACCACTCAGGCTCCAGGCTCACGGATGGGGTAACATCTAACCCCAAGTCGCATCCCTTAAACACTTCCCCCCTGGGTAAAACAGGTTTCTGTTTCATAGAGTAATTGTAGAGGAATTTATCAAGGGGGGAAGCAGTGCAATTCTGTTATGACAAGTTTCCATCTTCAAAAGGTTTTCGTTAAGGCAGGTTTGACTGTACTTCAAAGATCATTGAGAGGCAGTCCTAGTCTTGTAAAAAACTGCTACTTTTCACTTCTCAATTTGCCTTTCTTTTTTTGAACACTTTGCTAGTGAAAGATGTGGGAAGATAGTCGGACGTCTTAATTCCATCTTTGTAAACTGAGAAACAGATAAACAAAATTTATAATTTTCTCTGATACGGATAGTTTGATTATTAAAGCTATGGTGATATTCCTCATTGTTCTTACCCTGTAATACAAATTCATGTTTGAAGTAAGGTGTAAGACCAAAATGAATTTGTCTTGTAAATAATTGGACATTGTTTTCTCACAGATGGATTCAGCTGCCATGAATATCTTCAGAGCTGTCTGCCACCAGGAAAACCCCCAGTTGCTCATCACCCCACACAAGTTTTGCAGTGATTTGTTTCTATCAATGCATAACCATGTAAATGACAGTGAAATCTGTTCTCCACACTCGCAAGTACTGTTCTCAAGTGAGCTGGGCTTACCTCCCTGTAAACTAATGGTCGCTGTCTCGATGACTGCTGCTGTTTTCAATTACTGTGAGTATCATCACATCAATGCAGAGAAACTGAAGCTGAGATTGAGTTCAACTAGCGCAAGTGAAAAAACAAGTTCAAATAAAGACAATGGTGGACTTCATATTGAATCAGTAGATCTTGCTCAAAGTGTGTATCAAGCAAAAGGAGAGGCAGCATCTTGCCAGTCTCCTACCTTTGATCAGGACTTCCACAATACAATTGGAAATGGTCTTAGTGTTACTGACTGGTATGGCCAAACACTTTTGTTTCTCCTTGAGAGAAAAATTGTGTTTACATTGGTAAGTATGTATGTGCTTTGGTGGCGTTCATCACCTTAGTTTTGAATTTCTTAATTTTAAATTGTGTATTTGAAGAAGGATGCCAATGTGAGAAGGAGGAAGATGGGTGAAAAAAAATTAAATTGTAGGTGTTTTTACTCCCCCATTGACAAAATTTAGATCATTTAGGAGACAGGCTTTGAATCTGCCTATCAGTGTTTCCATAGACCAGTGCGCAAATCATTACGTAATTCTATGTTTAAGCTAGCCTATCATTGTTCGTAGCCGCGAAGGGGGGAGGGGGTTATGGTTGTGACATGTCTATATCTCTGCTGATGTTCCACGTCCAGAACGCTTATGCCTACACCCGCCCCTTTCCCCTATACACACCAGTAACAGCCAGACATAATTATGCTGGCCATCCATTGCACCTCTCCCCAACCTCGACCTTCGCTAAGACTCATAATGTTTTATTTGTGTGTCAACGACGCACATGTTGGTGTGAAAGAAGGCTTCTGATTAGCCGCAAAAGATGTACGCATTAGGCCAGGCTAATCGTATTTATATAATGATTCATGGTGCAGGTGCGATTGATTGTCTCTTGGAATAGGGTTGATGAGTTTGGCTGCAAGAGAAAAGTGCATGAAGTCACATTAGCAGGGGCTGTACACCTGTCAAAAGATATTAGTTGAATCTGAGTTTTCTCATTTATGGATACGAGTTATTTTGTGATTTTAATTAGTTAAAAAAATTGGGGAATCCATTTTCTATCGTTAAATCCGAGTTTTTGTTGAATCCGGGTTCGTTATATATCGGAGTTTCACTGAATATGTTTTTTGCTGTTGTTTTTATTTCAGGTAACATTGCTACAGAGCAAATGTCAAGTCATTGCTTATGTGGCAAGGAAAACCTTGGTGACAGGAACTCGAAACAATTTCTTTGAAGTAAGAGTTTTATTTATTTGACATGTTCACTTTGATTTGCAGACCTTGGATGTATTTGTCAAATCTGTAGTGTATCTTTCTTAGGAAATTCCATTTTTTGAACACCATAAAGGAGAGGGCAGAGGTAGGGATGGGGAGATGTGGAAGCACTGTGGAGAACCAGAGGGAAGGAGGGGTTAGAATAGTTACGAGTTTCATTGTCTAGTGTAGTGGTTCTTAACCTTTTTTCGATTGAAACCCTGGGTTTCAGTGAACCAGTTTCTGGGGTTCAGTGGAGGTCAAGACATACATTGTGTTTGTGTGTTCCATTCACCCCACTTGTAGGGTTTAGTGAATGCATGATATAGAACTTGCAGCGTTCAGTGTCTCTAACAAGGTTAAGAACCACTAGTGTGGCATGTCAATTTTACTTTTTGCAAACACAAGAACTTTCTGGTTACCATATTGATTTGAAATTAATGTAAAATAAATCACATTGTGATATTTTGACCCTTTTAGACAACATTTACATCAGTGTATTTTTTGTTGTTGTTGTCCTAACATCCCCATGACAACAAAACTCAAAATGATCAACACCGTATTCATCCGAACACTTACCTATCAATGCCAAACATGGACCATGAACAAGACTTTAGAGCAAAAAATTACAACGTGTGAAATGCGATGCCTTAGAAAAGCAGTAAACAAGGCCAGGCTAGACAAAATTAGAAACTCTGTAATCTGAGAAATGGTGGGCACAAATGATGTCGTGCATCACATCAAACACCAAAGAATCAAATGGTTCGGACATCTCCTACGATTACCAATGCACCATCCAGAACAACGAGCCTACATAAAAAAATTTGGTGGCAACAAGGCTAGAGGGCAACCGAGAAAGACCTGGATAGATGGTGTCAGGGAAACATTAACCACCCACGGCATCCCCCTGACCCAAGCTCTCCGGCTGGTGACAGACAGACGTCTCTTTCTTCCCGCGACACCCAAAAGGGTGTAAGCGGTGGATAAAAGTAAAGTTGTAAATTGTCACATTTCTGTTTTGGAATACCGAGCTATTATTTTTGCTGAAAGTGAATTAAATATCATTTTTCTTTTTATGTGCTAGTAGGTCATGAATAAACATGCTTTTAATGTATTTCTGTTTGTCTTTTGCAGGTAGCAGACGTACTTTCTGCACTAGAGACTGATATTATACAAAGGACTGCTGAGGAAAGTAGTGAAGTGATAGATCTTCTTGTTCAGTTAATGTCTTTTAAGAGTTCAAACAGTGGTTCAGTACAAAGTCTCACATGTAAATGGATTGTGAACTGTGTCCTCGGAATTCAGATCAACATAACCCTTGAGACATCTGTTTGTGTGTCCCGTAGGATGATAGGTCTGCTCCAGCTCTGGAAATGTGTCCTCAAATATCTGTCACAGTGTTCATCAGACTTTGCAATCTCAAAGACACTTTGTTTGTTATTTGAAGAAAAACTCCTTCCTTTAGCTGATCATTTCTTTCAGCTTGAGAAACCAAGTTTGGGACACCTTGTGTGTATTCAGTATTTGAAAGTCATCAGCTCAATGTTAAGTCTTCAAGCTTTTATTCCTGTTTCGGTACATCAAACTGCTCTTTTCTTTTTGGAATCTTCACCCTCACTTTTCTCATGTGGGAGAAACAGTGGTCTGTTCAACAAAACTGACTTTGTTGGGAGCTCTATTGATGCTTCAGAATCTGGTCTGGAGACGGTGTCTACACTGACAAAGAGCTTTATTCTCGTCCTGTTTGAAGCTTCTGCTGTTCTTCTCCAAGGCAGAAAAGCTTGTGAAGGTGAGAGTATGATAATATAAAGACATCTTGCTCTCTCTCCCTCCCCCTTCCCCCCCACCCCTTCTTTTTTCCCCCTCTCCCATTCCTCCTTCCCTGCCTCAACAGCACTCTCCCTCACTTGCACCCCCCCTTCCTCCCTCCCTCTCTCTCTCTCTGTCTCTCCCCCTCTCTCTCTCTCTCTCTCTCTCTCTCTCTCTCTCTCTCAGTGTAATTTATTTGAGAAAAAAAACCCCTAACTCTTATCTTTTTAAAAACCTCCCAATGTGTTTTAGGGCATAAATTTTGTACGTGTCTTTCTTTACAGTTTCTCAACTTGTGGTGAATTCCATCCAGTTTTTACTCCACAATGTTTGTCATGTTGCCACACCAGTAGCTGGCAGTGCTCTGTCCTTGGATTGGTTACCAACAATGTTTGGCGATCAAGATGACAAGTGGATTTCTGCTCTTTTCTGTCTCCTGAAGATTTGGAGATACGGCATGAGGTTTCTATATTCATCTTTGTTAATGTAGCTTGAGTAGACGGTTGTAGTATTTGTTTCTGTTAATGTGTCTTGAGTTACAGAGTTCTGTAAAGGCTACACTAGGTAGCGTGAACACGGCCTCGCGGGCACTCGCGGCCTTCCGACCGCGTGGTATCGGTGAAATCACGGTTATGCCGATCGCTGTTTCTTTGCTCTTTCGCTATAAAACACCAAATGCCGTACACCTTGTAAAAGTTCAGCTTTTCCTCGTTACAATGGTGTAAGTTGTTTATATGTCTGATTATTAGGAGCTGGAGAATCGCCGACGAAAGCGAAGCCCCTCGCGGTCGGAATGCGTGGTCGGCCGGTTCAAAAATTGACACGTGTGCATTCAAATGCTTCATGGAACGAGTGATGATTAAATACCGTCTTTTCATTGGCGGAGAACTGTAGAGCTCTAAACGGGCTTTCCCGTGGTATATGTTTGGCCTTTGGCGTTTAAATAGAAAGCTTTTAAAAATGCTGTCAAAATAAATAAAGATCACTTTTTACACAAAATATATAAAATACCGGCTTAAAAAAGATAATAATGAAAAGATCAATTTATTTTCTATTATTAGAATAAAGTAATCAGCTTGGAATTTTTTAACATCAATCCTTCTGCGAGACTCGGAAAACATGTGACCCCGCACGTGGGGTATACTACAGTATAAGCCGACTCGCTCGCCGCGGGGGCCGGTGCGGCGCCTGCCAGGTCAACGATCGGTGTTTTTGTCAAAATAACGACAGATCATCGTGTTTGGAGTGATAAAAAACTGATTTGTAATGATCTCAGTCTTGAAAAAAATTAGGCTCCATATTTTGTTATAGTGATTGTACTCTGTTAATGTGGAGATGTTTAGTGCACTTGGTACTCTTTTATTGTCTGTCAAACATGGGGTTGCAGCCAGTGACTGACTTTAACAAATTTGATCAAATTTTAAACAACTACCATTTTCTTTAAAATTGACTGAGAGGTTAAAGAATGATACCAAAATGCTCAGTGGATATAGGCCTTTCAAATGGAACAGATAAATTTGGCATACAGCTACTTTGAAAATTTAGTTTCTGGTACTTACTACTCACAAGTTTTTGTGGTCCAGTATGGAGTCAGACCATGTTTTGGGGGACTTTTACAAACTTCCCTTGAAAATTATATGCAAAATCGAATGGAAGTAAAGTCGTACCCCGTTATAGGCTACTGCCTATCTTCGGACAGGCATGAAGTTGGCAGTACAACGGGGCTAGTGGTATAATGAGATCTTGATTAGTGAGCCAGTCTTGATATATCTTTCTGTCTTGCGTGTTAACCATATGCAGGGGGAAAAATGAGTAGCAACCAATTACATGTATAGCTTCAGCTAAACTTTAGGTGAATTCAAATTTATAATGTCTGCCAGATGAGAAGCTAAGCTTTAATGTGTCAAGGACCTTGGAGACATAGTTGTTGGGTTTTTTCTCGATACTCATCAGTCTTCGGGCCACATATAGCTATAACCTCTCATGTAGACTTGAACGCAAGTCTTACCCATCTAAGCTTCATGGGCACCTGCCGACTTTTAATTCATCAGGCTGATGTTTGGCAATGCCAGATATTTTGACAACAGGCTGAGGTGGCACAGTTCCGTTGAAGTTTCTCCGGACGATTTAAACATTTATTTCCTATTTCTTTTTTAAATATTTGCCAAAGCCTAAAAATAATAGCATTTCCATCATCAGGAGCAAATTGACAAACACTAGAAAATGTCGAGCTCCCAGAGCCATGTGTGGGGGGAAAAGATTATCAAGCCGCCACCTATAGGTGCCAAGTACATTTTGTAGTGTACCTCTGGTAGCCAAGTCTTTGGCAGTATGTCGGGGGCAAATTTACATTAGTTTGATAGAAATTCCTTGTGTAGAAATGAATATTGGTAACAGAAATTCCTTGAGTTTGCCTTTTTTTACTTTCAGACATGGCTGGCAAGAAGGTAGTGGCAGAGAAAAGGACTTACATCTTGCAGTTCTCCAAAACTCTGCTGGAGGGGAAAAAGATAAAGCTCAAGAAGGTTGTAATTCTGCGAAACAACAAAATGAATGCCTTACAAGCACCGGAGATTTGCATTGCATGGCACAGACTGGGCCATTTCAGTTTCAGGAAGTGGATTTACTGAGACAGATTTCTCCTCATAAACTTTTCTTACAATTTGCGTCTTTTATAGATCATGATCATTTAGTACTTGCTGATTTTCTAACTTCTCCGGAGACATGCTTCTTAGCGTATTTCACTGCGTATCTGCACGATTTAGAAAAAGACTGGTTGAATTTCACAATAACCTGTCAGCAAGAGGAGGATTCTGAATGTGATAAAACTGTTATTAAGCACAAAAATTCAACAGCTTCCTTGTCTGTGTGCCAGAGTCCTCTGTTGGCTCCACTGCAGTTTTTCAATGAAAATTCTAAAGATAACAAAGACAAGAATCTGGGACTAGAAGTGTTAAAAACAGATGACGAGGTATGTCCTTCCTCCCAGCATTGTCCCAGGCAGGAAAATGTCAGTTTCAGAAAAAGACCTAATGGTGATTTAAATTTTTATATGAATAACGTTACAGGTTTGTGCTCTAAAGAGACCACTGCAACTGCATTGAATACTGCTGCAAAAAAGCCTAATTTAAGTCTAGTGGTTTATACAGACTCTGATTCTTCCAGTTGTGCGGATGATGCAGGAGACAGTGGGGAAGAAGACTCAGATATAAATTCTATGTGTAGCGATGAAAACCCAGAAGGAAATTCCTTGTTTGGGAACAAAGACTCAGACAAACATTCCTTTTGCAGTGATGATAACACAGACAGAAATTCTTTGTGTACGGATGAAAATTCAGCGGCAAATATTCTTTCTTCTCTACTGAAGGATACAAAACAGAATTCAGAAGGTATTGTTAAGGAGAAGATGACAACAAAGAGTCTTAACATGCTTACAAGTCAGCCAGAGGAGTCAGCTATAAAAGAACAGGAGCTTCACACTATTCCGCAAGATAAAAATATTGACCATGTGATGGGAATGTTGATTCGATTAAGATATCACGTACAACGCCTGTCTTTAAACAATTTATTTCCGTATAATGCGACGCCAATTTTGAAACTGTTGACTTCTTGTGAAAATTGTTATGAGAATCTGACTGATAGCAGTGGGTATAAGACTCCCTAAATCCGTGCAAGAGAAGATGATGTTTTTGTCAGACAAATCCCTCGGGCCGGTGCCACTGACTGAAGTGTCTTTAGGCCATTCCCAAAGGGGGGACATTTCTCGTTCTAATGCACAGAGAATTGTATCCAACAATGTCATGCTCATAACTGTGCCTGAACTACAACAGGGAACTGCTGCTTTTTCTTTCCTAATCCTATCGTCCTTTTCCTCTACTTCTTTTGTATGTTAGTCACACTCTTGTGATCCGCTATTTCCGGAGTGCCTTGGTAGTCGAAGCAGACTTTGTACTGTTAAAGCTAGAGAGATGAGCAGAGTAAATCTGATTCCCTGTAAGGACTTTTCAGTTGACATCCAACCATGGCGCTCATTTGTGCAGTTGCAAGCGCTGAAGACCCTCTACTAAAACAAAACTTGTCAGACAATGTTTCTGGATTTCCATTTCTCATAAGGAAGATGTTATTAGCCGGTCTTACATCTACACTCTCTCACGAGATTTTTCAGGCTGCAGTCGGGCACAAATATCACGAACATGGGAAACTCAAAATCATGGACAGCTCATACAATCTGCCGTTCCCCAACCTACCCTCTTTGATTATATTATGATATCGGTTTACCAGAATTATGGATGTGTCTATAGTGAGGCATCGTGGTGAAATGAGGCGTTCGTCAAAATAATGAAATCAAAGGAAACAGCATTTTCCCGCCGGTTTGGCAATTTTTATCGACTTGTTGTTTTCTGGCTCAACTTCTTTTATGTCCATTTAAAAACATTTCTGTGTGGATTTTACTGAAAAATGTTGATTAAAGGCAAAAAAATGTAAATTTTCAGTCACCAAGGACTCTCAAGCTATGGAAGTTACCAAACTTTGGCTGCCATTTTCGTGTTGACTTTACCTCTGAAACTAGGTGATCCCCACCTCCTTCGAGTTCAATTGCAAATATCTCGACTTCTATTCAAAATAGATGAGTATTTTTTTCATCGAAAGCAAGGCAAATGGACAACCTTTTAGATAATACTAACTCCACATAGCATTCAATCCATGCAAGAGATGATGTTTTTGTCAGACAATGCTGACAAAATTGACGAGCGCCTGATTCGACAACGTCGTGACACAATTACATTTGTCAATCCCCCACATGTTTGAGTTATCCGTGCTCAACTGTGTTCAATCTTACTCAACTCTACATGGTCATTATTGTGTCAATGTGCTTCTCTGTACTCATTCTTACAACAGGCTCATTGATCTGTCATTCAAAGACATGTGAGACTGTCTTTATAAATATATTTATTGCTCTGTTTTCTTGTCTGTGTAACATGAAACATGATATTGATTCATTAATTCTGCACATGTGAACAAGAACAAATTTATGCAACATGACACCTGTGAAAAATGGCAGTATATTATGTACAGCACATGTTGCTGATCTAATATAAGATTTCACAGGTGACCTCGTGTGGAGAAGTCAACAAAACATACAATACATTCAAGAAGCAGTCCCTGTGGCATTGTGAAATATTTAAAACTGAGTTTTCAGCTTAAAATATGATCTGACACATTGTTTTGTGTTCTGCCTAGCACAGATAAGCACCTTGTTTTGAGCAACAAGAAAGATTAGCGCAAGATTCTTGTACATTTCCTATATATGCTTTTTTAGATTAATAAACACTAAACCTCAGCTTTCATAAATAAAATTGAAAAAAAAGTGAACAACGAAAAAATGTGCTTCACTTCTATGCATAGAAAAAGAAAAATAATTGAAGTGCACAATATTATGGTTCTGTATTCACAAACCAGATGATGCTTGCATCTTATATTATGTTAAATTGGACTAGACCTTTTCTCAGTATTGCAGAACCAGGGAATCTTTATGATAGGCCCTACCAATTCCCCCATTACCTGTCCAAGACAACTAGATCTTCCTGTTCAAGACAACCACCTGTTCAAACTACCTACTCCAATATTCCCCCCCCCCCCTTTTGTTTTTTGTTTTGAAACCGATGCCGATTTGACCATACTGACTCCCAACTTATCCAGCTTAAGCATACTGTACTGTGTTCCTCTGGTCCCCAAGAATTTTCACAGGAATCATTCCAAGGGCTACTAAGTTTTGCCCATGGAAAGAGAGAGAGTTACAGGTGTTGTATTTTGTGCTAAAGTTTCAAGGAAAGAGACAGTAAAGAAAAAAAGGACTGCCATGACGTGAACCATTGCAGTAAAAAAAGGTATAGTTTATGCTACCACCCCTAGACTTATTTTGTTCACAACAGTATAGAACAAAATATGCTATGTGACCATCCTTCTTTGCTCCCCTCCCCCCCTCCCGCTTGATCTCAGGGGTAGTCGATTGCTGGTTCTTCAATATTTTTAATTTCAAGTAACATTATACACATGTAGGCCTATCATGTCCTTTGCTGTTTTACGCAGAAAAACAGGCGTTCTAATTCTATTCAGTGCGGGGAAGCCTTGTATGAAGATATCTCTGTCTTTTTGTTGTGTTGAGATGTTGTATCTTAGCCTTATATGAAGATATCTCTGTCTTTACGTTGTGTTGAGATGTATCTTAGCCATCACACTCTGCCAATGCTGGCACTGAGACTGAGAGGCAGGATAAAAAACCTAGCTTGTGTCCAAGGGGGTGTAAGACATGAACAATTACATTTTTACAAGAACACTAAAGGTATCACATGTGAAAATTCAAGGAAAACTTGTTTATGATAGAGTGTTTACTTGAGTGTCAGAGAGAGAGAGAGAAAGAACCCAGGAAGTGCTAAAGCACTGAGACCTTGTTACCCATAGCTGTACATTATAACATTTTTATCCATATAGAACTCAAAAGACAAAAACAATTTTTGACCCTGCATGGACCCTGAATAATAAAGTAAAAAAGGACCAAAAAAGTTGAAAGTGGTTTCCAATCACAGTTGAATGTGGTTTCCATGATCCGGAATAAATATCCCTTGACAGGTGTTTACAATTTGCAGTCTGTAAATTTGGTCCACTGGTCCATGGGAAGCTGTGTGGTGTAGGATGCTAGACGCCTCAACAAGTCGCTGGGTACCCAGTAGCTGGAATAGGCTGGAGAAATAAAAAGAAAACCTTGAAGTCACAGCAGGGGCAGTAGCTCAACAGGTATGGTGTTCACCTGTGGACATAGAGGTCTGATTATTCTCTCGTGTTTTCTATACCTTTTCTTCTCGGATAAAGATGGAGAATTCTGGAAGATATCCTGCGAGAGTTTCGCACATGAATCTAAAATAAAAAGGAGTAGACCCTTCAGGCCATGATATGTGCAAAAATCAAAATTAATTCCTACCAAAGAACTGAAGCCACTCCAGTCAGTGCCGGTATACATAATTTATCAAGAGAACCTTAAAATAGGTACCGCAGGCGAGCCGTTTTCAAGGCAGACAGCTACGGCTGGAGCCAGATTTGGACAACTTCATCCAACTATTAGCTGGTTTTAATTTTTGTAAACACTAATACTTTAAAAAAAACACCACGTGTCTGCCCGCTTGCAAGGTGATTTGAATTTGAAACTTGTGAGAAACAACTACAAAAGAGTTTTTTGAGACAAGCTGTTTGACAAATCCAAACCAAAAGAGTGTTTGAGAAAGCAGAGTTGACGATACAAAATATACCTCTGTAATGGTTCAGTTGGGGAATGGCAAATTGTATGAGCTATCTGTGATTTCGAGTTTTGAGTGATCATGTTATCTATGCCCGACTGTGTACAATTATGTTGATAAATTATTGTGTGTTATGTTTGCCATTAATATTTCTCCACAGGGTATTTTCTTTCTTCATTGATTTTGTTAATTCTATACATCTTCAAAATGTTTTATAATTAAAATAAAAGACATTTGATTATGGAGAGTCTTGTATGATGTGTTATATACTGAAACTTACTTGATAGTTCTTCCCAAAATATTATGGTTTACACTTTGTTTATCAAATCGAAAATGAAACTATATTTATTCTGGACTATTTTTGTCCTTTCATTGCTTTTAATGTGACTTGAAGCCAATAGAATTGGTGAAGTAAGTGACAGTAAGCGGCCTTCAATCTCTCTACCAGTAGATACAACACATGTTCCTTTCACAAGTAATGAGAACCTAATTTTTTACACAGATATAGTCAAGAAATTTTAATAATGGTAAATGTAGGCTACTTACGCAAAGTTTTGTGGTAGTGGCATATGCGCTCATACACTCTACTCAGGCCGACCTGACTGGCGTAGAACATCGGGCCTCCTCTGTACCGGGGAAAGCCAAAGCCGTACAACCTGGAAATAAAAACATAGTGCCATGTAAAATATGTTGATGGGACTATTTTGTATTGCAAGACTGCCTTAATATCAATGTCATCATTGTTGGCAGGTCTGATACATATATACAGTCAAACTTGTGTAAGACGGCCACCCATTGTCAAGGAGAAAAGTGGCCGTATAAGACAGGTGGCCGTCTTAGGCAGGACTGATCAAGATAAAGAAAACAAACCATTCCCATCTGAGGCCCCAATCGAAAGTAGCCCCATTGTTGTTGTGTTTGTTGGTGTTGTTGCTGTTGGTTTGTATTTCGTTTGTAATTTTTATTTTGTCGCTAATTTTGCACAATGGTGACAATAAAACTAAATGTATCAGACAAAGAAGACCGAGTGCCATGTTAAAACAAACACATGGGTCGCCACCACTCGGAGAACGAGGGACGCTTCTGTAACAAGTTCATGTTGACGTCCTTTGTTACTTTGTTACAGACTGGGTAAACAGTAACCACTCATCTCACTTACGATTTGTGTATGAGTTCTGGGCGGGGCTTATGGGTTATGAGGGATCACACGCTTGCCTCACCAGCAGCTGAAAATTGGTAGCTATTGGTCAACAGTGGGAGGGGCCTATGCAACATGATCTGTTGGAGGGACTACCTAACATTACAACAACGACAGGTGATTGAATTATGACGGCTCGTCCACAACGCCAGGGGCCAATGCACAATTTATGACAAAGCGTAATGGAGTCACTAAGGTGACCGTCTTAGACAGGTGTTATTGCTTAGTATTATAGGGGTTGTGTGTTAAATTATTGTGGCCGCGGCCGCGTTGGACAGGTGCCCGTTTTACACAGTTAAATTATATAGAAAAAACGCAAGGGGGGAAATGGAAAGTGGCCGTTTGTTCAGGTGGCCCTCTTATAGAGGTGGCCGTCAGGGCAGGTTCGACTGTATATAGATATATGTGAAGTAGGATGTCCAAATATGGCTGTATATAATGCAAACAAGACGTGTGAAGAAAATCAAAGGAAGTGACTGTGACAGTATAATGGCTGGTAAATATCATCAATATAACAGATTTACCGTTGTAGACTCTCTTAACACAGCTGTTTAAGCAATGCAATGTCTCTTTTTGATCCCATTCAACCATTCTGTGTTGTATTTGAAGTCAAGGCCAAGTAAGTCCCTTTGCGATTTTATTTGTTTTTGTCATCTGGATGGAGCCAGAGAAAGGGAAAGACATGGCATGTGCTTACTGAAACCGTTGCTCGATATTCTCAGATTTGGCAAAGCATGCTCACTTTCTGTCAGGTTTACATCCAATTCTGGTGTTTTTTAAAATTCTATCTTGACATTACAGAAACAAGGAAAGATTTGGTATGGGGATACCAAATCTCTTACGAATTTTCATTTTAGCACAGCACTTCTTGACTGTTTCAGCTAAAATCTGATGTTTGATTTTTACTATCAGAAAATTAAGTTTTCTCTTCTTTTCCATCATGAAAAGTACCCAGTATGGATAAAAGGATAGAAGAAGGATGGAAAGTGCGAGTACATAGCTCAATGGCGAAGCAAGAAAAAAGAAGAGGTGATACTGATGAGCCTTACAACTGAAAAAAAATTAAAATTGCTCTTGTGTCAGAAGACGATGTAACCAACACTGGTCAGAGCACACCATCCACCCCTTTTGTGTAATGTAATTATCTCTCGATTTGTACCTTCACGGTCAAACAATAACACACACAAACATGATTCACATCATACGATCCAATGCAGCCATACACTGTCTGCCTTCAATCACACCATACCATCCTGCACCCACCCTCACAAGTCTAGATTCAATAAAGTACCGACAACGTGCGATGACGCATTTTGATATCAGCAGTGTGTGTTTAACCCTGTGCGGAAATAAGTTTGGTGGGATCATGTAACTTGATATTCTCGTTGATAGTAGGTGTGCTGTTTTCCATCTCGCCCATAAGGTGATTTGAATCCAAGACAATTGAGAGGAAAGATTTTTAAAGTTTTTTTTAGACCAGCTGTTTGACAAATCTGTACGGTTGTTTGAGAAAACAGTGTGGCCAATACAAAGAAAACATTGCAGTTTAGTTGGAAAATAGCATAATGTTCCAGCTGTCATGATTTCCAGTTTTAAGTGTTTGAGTTATCTGTACCCGACTGTATTTATCATAATCAATGTTAGCTGGTGTCCTTTCATTATAAAAATATTCACATCATGCAGTCTAGTTTCCTGAAATATCTGTTCAGTACTTCTGTCATGAACAGATATGCTTTGAAATTTATCCACAACCTTCAAATGTCAATGAATAAACACCACAGATGTACCTCTTCCTGCATGATCATTTTAATATTTTGGCAGGGAGGAAAAAAGTAATGATGGACTTGAACAAATGCTTTAAATGCAAAATGTCTTGACCTTTCATAACATCAAAAACTAATTGGCAAGCCTGGATACTGAACCAGAAAATAGGGTCATATAAAAATAGTCACTTCAAACATGATTGAAAAAGTAACAAAATCTCACCAAATAACGTCGATGTCTTCTGGCTTCTCAGCTACTCCCTGCTCCAGAATTTTGAAACCTTCATTGATGGCAGCATAAGTACTTCTTTCAATAATTTCCTGAAATTTTAAAATGGAACTACAATTTTCCTCATCCTAAAACTAAAACAACAAAAACCTTAGCATAGTGTGTGGAGTTCTATGCACAGAATTACTATTAATCTTTTCAGAGAATTCAGGGCTACGACAACATTATGTCACTTTGAAAACTTGGCAAGATCTATCTGCTTCCGTGTTTTGTCATCTCTCAAGCCATATTTGTTTGCTCAATGCAGTCGTCTTTATCACATCTGCTCATCTGCTGAAATAAGTCACAGAGAGGGTATACAAGTAACAAGAACCCCAAGTTAGCTGTGCAGGATTACATACCACCTAGTGGAGGATATGCCAGATTCTTCAGCACATCAAAATTCCCATACTCACTTTGGTATTTTATGATGGTCTTAACAGTTTTCCATGATATTAAGCAGTGGTTATTCATATATATAATACATATATATATATTATAATATTCCCATGCAGAGCTAATGAACAAGAAAAAATCAACTTTATTACACAATTACCTCTTAGAGCATCAACTTTTCAAAGCTCACTGGACGATGGGAGAGACTGGTGGTAATGACCCTGTTCCTATCAGACACTGGGACCATCCGATACAAGTGACTACCGTTTTGCTTCATATCATGCAAGTTTTTGCCTGTCTTTCTGGTTATGAAGCTAAGTTCAGATAGCGTTTTTAGAAGTACAGTCGACTACGCTTGTAGTGATGTCCTTGGGGGACCAGAAAAAAGATCGATTCATCCGAAGTTCGCAACAGCCGTTAGAAGAAAAATTCAAGGGAAATAATGCCAGTATCCAACCTATCTGTAGTTATCCCTCGTGGCGCTAGGCGAAGTGAGAAAGAGGCAGTATCGTGTTCGCTTCGGTGCTTATTATATAAGGTTATCAATAGTATCGGGAGATTGATGCCTCATACTATTGTGTGAATGTGCGTAACGTTACAAAACATCATCAGATTCATCAATGCTAGGCCAAAACTAACCATGAGGAAAACCGTTAAAACCGTTACATTTTTACTATTAACTATAGGGGGCCAGGGATAAGAATACGCACCACTACAGCCGTCACGATGGATGTAGTGAATTTGGTACAACCGTTTCATTTTTATTGAGTTTGTGTTACATCGGTGCCCGTTCCACGGAAAAAGACGCTACGTCCGAAGATCTTTACAACAGACTTCACTAGTGGACTGTAATTTTCCCCATATGTTTACATCATGGTACATTTCTTTGACATTGGGCATCGGCCATTATGGCTGGTAGTGGTAGACGTAAACTTTAAATGAGGCATCTCAATTTACTAGAAGAAATTCAACTTTAAGAATTGAATAGCAATTGATTCTCAAATGATAATGAGGACTCTTGCTAGAGTGGTGATAGTGTTAGTGGTGATAATGGCATAGAACTAGAGCTAAATCCAGACTCAGAAAGTGTCAGTTCTTGTCGTGAACTAGTGTCAGGTCCAAGTAGACCTGTACTTTGCTGTACATTTTTTTCCCCCATAAATTTATTTTATCTTATTACCTTCTATTCATTTTCCTTCAATTTTGGTTTAACAATTCTGTGTTATCATTGAATACTGTAGCGCTCTAGGGGTTGTGATGAGGGAAGGTGCGCCAGGTTTAGGTGACTGGAAAAAACTTTGGAAAAAGTGGTTTAAACTCACTGTTTAAAGAATTATGTCCCATGTAAAGAAGTTCAGTTACCTGTGCTGAGACAGTTCTCCTCGTCAGCCCAATGGCTTTGGCGTGACTGTTGATCATCTCTGTCACGTCGGCATCAGGATATGCTTTCACAGCCATGGGCTTCTCATACCTATACCAGCCTTTCCCTGGAAATGAAACAAACAAAAAATTAAGAAAAATTTATCATTTTTTTTACAACTAGGAAAGTATATAGTAACACAATAAATTACATTTATATCATGCATTTCGACAATGAAATCTATTACTATTGTAACTATTTTCTCATCTCTGGATTCTAAAACTTATTCTGATGTTTGCAAATTAGTTTTGCAAAAACAATTTAAGATAAGATAAGAAACATCTTTATTGTCCAGATCCTGGAACATTGGTTTGGTGTTTCACCACGTAAACACATGCATACGCATGCGCGCACGCACACACACACACACATGCAGTATGCTTGCTTTCACAAACAGGCTTACAGTCAAATGCATAATATAAATGAACAGTAATATAAACAATAATAATGTTAAGCTAGATACATACTCAGTATTCTGATTGTAACTCAATGGCATTCTATGCATGCTCCAAGGTCATATAAATACTTATAACAAGATGGTTAACTCACTTGCGACTGGGCCCTTTCACCAGTCACAAGCGTTGAAGACTGGCGTTTTTGGGGGTATTTCAATAAATCACCACAACTCTCAGGATTACCCTATTGTAATCATTTTTTGACACAGTAAAGTAACATTCAAGCTGAATCTAATACAAAAAATTAAAGTTGTCTAAGTCTAATACTTTAATTTGTATGATTTTTAAAAAATTGGCATGAATTTGATTTTCCGAAAAATTTCCAGAGACGTGACAAGTAGAATGAAATTCACTGCAACAACAAAAATAAAAGTTCAAAGTGTTCTGGTTTGATTTGTATACATGTGCGAGTGTTTGATGAAAATATAAAAGCTGGTCTGTGCATTGATTCAGACCCATACACTGAATTACATGAGACAGATGTACGACACGACGTTGTGATTTCGTTGCGCGAAAAACAACACCGGTACTAGAGCTAGATCTAGCCCTAGAACTATGACTCGGGCCGTGTTCGGGTACATATCCAGGATCCTAACAATTAGATACATCATATTCTGAGACACTAGAACTAGTAAAACGCACAGAAGTATAGAAAACGGCGAAATTATGTGATTCTTGTTCATGCGACTTCTTCGACCGTTACTACGACGCGACTGTCGGATTACTAGGAGCTGTATAGAAAAAAACAAAGCGCGAGTTCCGGTCTGTTCAACCTCAGTTGGGGTCACTGTCCATCACCTTCAATAACTTAAAAACTACCGGCCCCAGAGATACGAAACGAAGTCTAAGTAACTCAGGCTTGGCCAAACAAGGGTACGAGGCGGGTCTCGCGTTCCGTGCGTGATTTGTAGAGCGAAAAAAAATTTCCAAAGTTGGTCACGCAGGGCTTGTGTGACCCGTCGCGAGCGTCGCGGCGGGGGTCACGCAACTGTTGTGTGACCCGTCTGAAGTGAGTTAAGATGGAAGAAGTATGATGGATGATGGTATGAACGACCTGTATCTTTCCTTGTTACAAATCAGAAGCCTAGGTCTTTTACTTCTGACTCATATTTTTATTTGAGGGAACAAGGGATATTTATTGTCCAAAAAGATGGAACTAATTTTTCTAGTGCAAGCTATAATGTACAATTTAGAGATTTTTAATGAAATCATACGATTTCCACCCAAAGTCATATTCTGTAATCATGTTCAAAATTTTATTTTTCAGTCTTTGTATGCTCCGCACAGAAATAAAAAAGGCCGTCTTTATATATCATCGATACAGACATCTCCAAGCAAGTCAGAAGAAAATCCCACAAACTTGAAATTCATAGCTCCAGTAATATTGGAAATACTTGCCAGTTTTCCTTCCATGTCTGCCCATTTCATACAAACGGTCAGCCAATGAGGAATAACGCTCAGCATTGAGATATTTTGTTTCCAAGGTCAGGGACACTCCGAGTTTCTTTGCAACTTCCTGGCGGATGTTCCACCCGATGTCGAGGCCTTTTGAAAATGACAAAATGAAATGCAATGATTTCAAGCTGGCTTGTTAAGAATTATCAAAAGTACCATATTGCCTCTCAGCAGAGAAAAAAAAATAAACCTCTAAAGTTGAAATTGCCGTATTGGGCCTGCCACTTCCAGCACTCAGGGAACGAAAAGCAATGGTCTCATTATGTACTTTTGTAAAGAAAAATATTTCTGCCGCAGTAGAAGTAATTCTGCATTCCACCATCCATAATGCAACAAAGTCTGGTATTTGTTTGGTTCTGATGGTCTTCAAAGCTACACATGACCTAGATCAAGACCTTTCCTTTTAGGAAAGTAATTTTCTGAGTGTCCAATTGATCAAGCACTGTGTCTCACTTTAACTCTAACTCTGGCTCACTTCCACTGCTTTCTGGAGATTCTATACATCTAAGAGAATGATAGCCTAGGGAATACCTCTCTTTCCTTCCCCCTCCCCTTCCTTCCATTATTTTGAACCATTAAGCACTTTGTTGAACTTACCGTGCTTCATGACTTTGAACATTGACTGTAAATACCACAGACAATTGAATGACTGTAAATCTGCAAGTGTTTTACGACCCCCATTGACAATTTTGATCATTTATGAGGTTGACTGCTTCTATCCAGGCAGTCCAAGCTTACCTGGACAAGTAGGATACACCATCTCAACATAAAGACAGAAATTGGCCTTACTCTTTAAAAAAACCAACCTTCTTCACTTAGGAACCTAGCTCATGTCTTCTGTCACTTGCAATGCCGAAGAGTCTAACACTTACACCACAGACACTGGTAGCCCTACACCATGCACATGGGTAGAAAACTTTGCAACAAGCCACAGGATAACTTCAATCAAATAACGTAAAAAATATTCTGAAAAAGAACAGAGGTTGCAAAAAGCTAGTTATGCACCTGATTACCACTAAAGCCTCAATACAAAAAAATATATTAAATGTTTCAGGCATCCCCCTGGTTTTTCCATGAAACGTTCAATACGTACATTTTTACATTTTTTGTGATTTTGACAAGTAATCTAGTCTCTTGTAATCTTCAATAGTTTAGTCACCGACAAGACCTATCACCTTTGTAATTCTAGATTCATATTTCAAAATAATAATTTTAACAAACCTGCGAGATCCCCGACTTTGAAAGGCCCCATCGGCATGCCAAAATCTTCCAGAACCTGGTCAATATCTTGGGGCAGAGCGCCTTCTTCCAACATGAAGAACGCCTGAGGAGTGGAAGTTGCAGTATGGACTTGAAAGGGGCATCATGTGCTTTCACAAGAAGTAAATAAGTAACTTGAAAATGGCATTGCATTTCAATTTTTGACTTGCAAGTTTTTTAGAAATTATGGGTAAGACGGGGAATGTAAGGAGTGAGGAAGGTGACACTTTTGAAGACCCGGGTCTCAATATATATATATATATATATATATGTCACAAATGGGCCAACAAGTCCACTGACACTGAGACATGAGACTGCTGTCCTGGCTAAGCAGCTTTGCTGAAAATCGATGCTGACAGTAGGAACACACACCAATTGGCAATGAAGGGGTTAAGGGAAGTTGTAATGCATTGAATAAAGGGAGGGGGGAGGGGGAATAGAAGATTTCGTGTTGAACAGCTTCATGTCAAACACAGTCTTCTGTAAGTCTACATGCTTTATCCAGTTTGTATGGTAAGACGCCAAAATTGCAGCAACCATCACAAGTTCTCAACGTAAGCATAATTGGGTGTCATGTACACACATACCTCACTTGAAAATTTCTGGTTCATTCTGTTCCCAACAAACCCATGGCATGTTTTCACCAGGACAGGAATCTGAAAAAGGAAAAGAACAACAAAATCAAATGAAATCAAACAACCCCTCCCCACAGAAGCAACTAGGCTACCAACACCTCCCATGATAATCAACAAAACCGTGTTTTTCCTGAAAAATTGTCACTTAACTTTCCCAATCCAGCAATCCTTTGAATATTGCTATCATCACAAGAAAAATCACCTTAAATTAAAGTTGGGAGTTAAATATATTTCTTGCAAAAATGACAATTGATGAGTTCAGTTGGCAGCTATGGTCCGATTAGATACTAACTTGACCAATCCACAAGCATTTTCAGGCACAGTACTGTATGAATTTAAACACCTCATCTATCTCAGTGTCCTGGTTGACCAATATCAAACCTTTGAAAGCATCTATAACAAGTCTAGGAGGGTGATTGTATTCAACGAAAAAACAAAGAAGTCAGTTCTAAAGTTAAGACTGATAGATTTGTTGAGTTGAGATGTTCCAAGTTCAACAGGCGACTTCAATATCAATTACACGGTATCCGCTACACCAGACTTGACAATAAAATAAAAAAGAAAGTTAATGAAAACACCTAAGTAGTTGTGCTTCAGCATTCAGGACAGTACTCCTGCAACTGTTTCGGAAAAAGGGGATTTGGGGGAGGGCGGGTGGTGTGACATGTGGAATCCTCTGATTGAACATCCATCTGACAGAACAGAGACAAAAGGGTTGAGAGCCATGAAAACTCCACCAACATCTACGCTAAAGAATACCTGCAATGGGTATTCAAAACATGGTTGCCAACATCTCAGCATAACAAGACAGTCACATGGAATTTATAAAGAAATTTAATGCAAGTTGTACGTTAAATAAACTTGTAAACGTAATCTTTCATACCAACTTTGAAATTACTGGGCCATTGGTTTACTTCTTCAAACAATTATTTTATCAAACAGAAAATACCATGGTGTGATTATGTAGGTACCAGAAAAAGAATTTTCAAAGTAGCTGTGTGCCAAATTTATCTGTACTGCCATTCTTTAACCTCTCAGTTTATTTTTAAGAAAATGGTAGCTGTTTTAAATATGATCAAATTTGCTTAAGTCACTAGCTGGCTGCAACCCCATGTCGGACAGATAATAAAAGAGTACCAAGTGCACCAGACACCTCCACATTAACAGAGTCCAATCACTATACCATATATATGGAGCCTAATTTTTTTCAAGACTAAGATCATTGCAGATCAGTATTTTATCTCCTCAAACACGATGATCTGTCTTTATTTTGACAAAAACACCGAGCGTTGTCACGGCCGGCGCTGCACCGGCCCCCACAGCGAGCGAATTGGCTCTATACTGTAGTGTACCAAGTGCTCCTGCGTTGGCGGTCACATGCTTTTCGAGTTTCACAGAGGGATTGATGCGAAACAATTCCAAGCCGATTACTTTCTTCAAATAGAAAATGAACTGATCTTTCCATATATACCTTTTTTGAGCCGGTATTTACATATTTTGAGTAAAAAATTATCTTTGAAAAATTTGACGGTATTTTTAAAGGCTTTCTTCGTAAACACCAAAGGCCAAAAACACACCACGAGAAAGCCCTTTCAGCTCTACAGTTCTCCGCTAATGAAAAAACGGTATTTAATCATCAATCTTTCCGTGAAGCATTTGAATGCACGTGTGTCAATTTTTTAACCTGCCGACCACGCATTCCAACCACGAGGGGCTTCGCTTTCCACGGTGATGCTCCAACTCCCAATAATCGGACATATATACAACTTACTTAACTGTAACGAGGAAAAGCTGAACTTTTACGAGGTGTTCAGCATTCGGTGTTTTATAGTGAAAGAGCAAAGAAACAGCGATCTGAATTACCCTAATTTCAACTATACCACGCCCTCGGAAGGCCGCGAGGCCTTGTTTACGCTACCTAGATTATAGTTTTTAAAAAAATTAAGTTTTCTACTGAGTCGAGAACAATTCTTTGACATGGGAGAAAATGAGATACCTATGATGTAGCAGCATACAGAAGATGTGAATTCGATTTGAGTAGGGTGAATTCTAATCAAATATCTCTGTCTTTCTGCCGGAATAGTTTTTTTCCCTCTCAGTCCGGGTAGGGCAAATGTAGTCCACTTCCTAAATGATCTAAATTGGATTGACAGGCCGTAAGACATCTACCATTTCTTTTTTAAAGAGAAATCAACACAAAGTCTGAAATACAGCTTGGTACCGTACTTTGCCAATAGTTTTCCCAAGTTGCATTATAGTAGCCACAGTCTGTGGGGACGTTTTAGCACCATAGATGTTTTCCAGCAACCTCATGATGTATGCCGGGGAGAAGAAATGAGCGCCCATCACTTTATCTGGTCTGCTGGTCGCTGAAGCAATCTAGAAAAGTCAAAATTTAGAATGAAAATGACCAACCGCCTTTGTAATTAAGGACAACAACTATTTCGAATAATCTGTCATTGAAGAAGATTAAGATCTAGATGTAGCCATTAGGTCTAATAGCAAAGATGAGACAGAAAGAACAAGAACTGATCAATGGACCATCCTTCACCAACCAGAAAATGGGGGTAGGCCTAGAAGCATTGATTACCGCATTAAAACTTCAATCAACATCTATCTTTAGCAGCACATTTTATATTTTCATGCTTGCATTTCACTTTTAGACATGTAATTTTGCAGGGTAGAGTGGAGGGGGGGGGGGGGGGGGGGGGGTTACATCCCTTTTCATGCTTTTTTTTGTGGGGGGGGGGGGGGGTGACAATCAGAACAGGCCCATAGGTTGAACTGAGTTAATGAGACATACATTATGCTGGATTAATATTATACAATACTGGTGAAGTTTTCCTGTGTCTTGAGAGATGAAAATGGAACAAACAGTTTATTATGGCTGCTTTAGTATACCTATATTGACCGTATCATTTCTTTTTCCATCCACAATCATAAATATGGGCAGTATTTCATTCACAGTAATAACTATGTTAACTTCATGACATAAGTAGCTACTTACTTGATCAATGTCTAGAGTTGAAGTGTTTGAGCATAGTATTGCCGACGGTTTGCAGATCTTGTCCAGTTTAGCAAAGATTTCTTTTTTCAGGGCTAGATTCTCAAAAACTGCTTCAATAACCTGTGTTTGAGAAATTGTATGTTCTATAGAGGACATCACACCAATGCAATATATACATTTATTTTCCTGACAACACACCTACATTTTTGGTAACTTTAAAATGGAAAACATAAACGAATGATGAAATTTACAATAATGTTTGTTAGCATTTTTATCATTCACTGCTAATACTTGTACATATTAATTAAAATACCTTAGCAAAGTGCACTTTGACATACATTAATTTTCTGCAGCTTTAGCTTTAGCTTCACACACACACACACACACACACACACACACACACACACACACACACACACACACACACACACACACACACAAACACACGCGCGCGCACGCACATGCACACACACACACCACTATCACTTCTCAGCACAAAATATCTCAGACGTAAATGTAATACAAGCTAATTATAGTGCAATAGTGAGAGGAAATAGGTTCCATTTCTTCTTCAATAACCTTCAATCACTGTTGTCTTTGTTACAGATTTGCAGGATGCAATTTTGAAAAACGTTTTGAGAATACATTTCAGTAAATCAAAAGATAGCCACAATGGTAATTGGTAACTCAGGCTATAAAATGGGTAATTCTAATGCAATAATCTTAAAAGTATAAAAGTAAAAGACCACTTAATGACCCTCTGGTGAATTTTGTAGTTCCTTCTTACCACATCGACATCTTTGAGACCTTCAAGACTAGCAGCACCTTTCAGGAGTCGAAGACACTCAGTTCTTCTTTCAGAAGTCATTCTTTTCCTTCTTACGCTTTCTCCCAAAATATCTGATATTGTTCTCATGCCTTTTTGCAACATCTGAAATTGAAAAGAATTTGAGATCTGAAAATGCATCTATCTATTAAGTCTTTCCACACTCGACCACTGTACTCACCAAGACCTAGCCATTTTGCCGACTTTATTTTCCGTTCTGACTGCATCAGAAAAAATATATCGTCTAAATTTCTAAAAGATATTCAAATGTGCTGAACAGCAAAATGCAGGGAAATGAATTTTCAGGAAAAAAATTATCAAAGCATAAAATAATGATTCAGACAAATGATAAAACTTTCTTAAGTAAAAAAATTTTTCACACATTTACAATTTAGTTAAATGATATTCATTGCACGATGTTGAATTAAAAAAATATTTAATAGAAAGTATCTATGACCACAACAACATGATGCAGAAATCCATCAAGGCATTACTATATTGTTGCAGGATGCATCCTCTGCCAGCCATGAGATTGTTAAGCATTTCAAAATGTAGTGTTTGAGAAAAAACATATTACATGCAAAAGGTGAAAAATGGAGGAAGAGCTTATTATTTGATATATACAATTTGTGCTGATAAAAAGAAAACTGAATCAAAGCATTGGTAACAGCACGTTTTTTTTTGCAAAATATGTTACAGCAATAAATATCTAAAATCCCACTAGTGGGTGGTTGGCGGGTGCTCTGGTGTGGTTTGCTTCTTCTTTCCTATCTAACATCTATCGTCCTTATCTCCCCTTCTTCTTTTTTATGTTTGTTACTCTCTTGTAACACCTCTAATCTTCTAGTGCTCATATGACCTTATGCAGTTGCGAGCGCCGCAAAACCCTCTACTAAAACTGAAACTAAAATTCCACTACTGATGCAAAGGGAAATGAGCAAAAGCATAAATATTTGAGACATTTTGTACACAGCGTCACTTTTCGCCTGATTCTGTGACTTTTAATTAGTGTGACTCAACAGCCCACCAGAGCTCCACGGCTTAGAGTCAATGGGTTAATAAGTCTTGAAGCGATTTTGCCTGTGCTGGTTAGGAAGTTCACATTTTATTTTGTCTTGGAGTGATAAACTTCTGTGCCTTAGTTTTCGTTCTAGACAAGTGTTTGTAGAGTACCCAATTTGTCCTATTTTTTTTTTTACATACTTATGAATTAATGATAGTTTATTTAGAAACGGCTAAATACATCTCTCCCAAATCTGCATTAAATAAACTACGAATATCATGTCTTTTACCATGAAAAATCTTGACTTTGCGCAGGTAGTAATAATCAAGTTATAAGAGAAAAAAGATGCGCATCTGCATTTTTTGACAAAATACACTCAGCGTTGGCTCTTGCTTTACCATTAAATACATAAGAAAAAGTACTCTTACTCTGCGTTTGCTCATAAAGTACGCTGTGTCTGTGGAAGCCTGCATACAACTAAAAAAGACATGCGATTTTAAAAGAACCCAAAACTGTGTAAATACAGGGGTAGAGATGAACTTCTTGTATGGATTATAAACAGTGACAGTTAATAATTCATTTTCAATTTTTGTGTCGGAAATATGCGCTGGCACTTATGAATATGTAAAGAAAACAGAACTATGTCAGTCTTTGCAAATGGTCACAGAAATGAAAATAAAAGCTGGAAAAGTCTGGCTCTGATTCAAAGTCATTGGAAAGCTAGAAATTATTCTGAAAACCCAGTTACTACAAGTTACCCCTGTTCTTCAGTCAATTAAGAAAACCTAGACTTAGCTTTTTAAGAAAAGTAAAAAATTACTGGAACAGATACTGTTCATATGTAGTGTTGTACATATGTTTCACTAAAAATTGATTTGTACTTCTTCGTAGAGAGACCACAGTGTAAATTTTAGAAACTTTCGAGAAAATATGCGGATATCCACCATTGTTTTAGACACATCAACTTGTATGTGAAGGAATTACTTCTTAGCGAATTGTGTGCCGGATAGATAAAATTGCAAAAATACAGCTTTCTATCATCTGCGCAGATACAATCTTTTCTGAGTATTTTCATCCATGTTATATTGTTCATGTTCCAAAAGTTTGACAATTTTTGTTGAGCCTATCTTTCAATACTGATTTTTTTTCCTTCACAGTTGTCCCAAAAAAATTTCCACAATTTAGCATTTCAGACTTCAGCGCATCTAATGAAATAACTAAGACAAGTTACAACGTCCATTTTTTCTTGAGTCTCAAAAGCAGAAAGCTTTGGTTGCATTAAATGATAATTATCATAATTACATAAATACATCTAAAACTTGAAGTTGAAAAGTACCAAAAATTAAGTCAGCCCAGCCAGAGCAGCGACAGAAAGTTGATCCCCATGACCCCAACGTGATAAGGCGCTCAGTGGGGAATCCCTCGCTGCGACTAAAATTCCGCTGCTGGTGCGCTGTCTGTCACGAAGCCTTTCAAATGTTCTGCTATATGATATGCACATAAAACAGTCTAAGTAGGATTTGGCACAAACCTTTTCATCCCTTTCCACCATCACAACAGGAATGCCCACGCGGATGAGGCAAATGGCAATTCCAGAACCCATGGTGCCGGCCCCAATAACACCTGTCGATGTAATCTCTGAAGGTTTTGTGTTGGCTGCACTCGCGCCACAAGGAAGTCTCCACTGCAGAGACAAATTTTGGTCAGAAAAGCTAGAAATGAGAAAATAATGAGTTTTGATTAAATAAAGTAAAATATCACGGTAGTCTTTGCCACAGCTGTGCAGAATGTACAGACAGTTAGAATTGTAATTGAAGCTGTCAAACTGGTCATGTCACATCTGTAAAGCACAATACTAATTACAAAGGTAACCAATAGAAAGTCATCTGCTGCAACAATATGTCAAACTTAAAGAGGTCTGTCTTTAGTTCAATTTCAATAAATGCCCTTGGTGAGGAGAAAGAATCTTTCTGCATCAGAAAATGGAGAAAATGTATTTCCAAGCTTTGGGACAAAAGAGCATCAATAGAACTTAGAGATTCAACAGTACCTGCACTCTTTTTTACAGATTATAACTTAAGAGGTACCACTGTCTGAGTGTTAGTGAGTTCATGTTCACAAAAAGGTCAAATTAATGTCAGCTACACAGTATTTAGGTGGGTGCTGTCACTGGGATGTGTCCTTAAAATTCAGCAAGAGGCAATAGCCCTAGCCCCAAAAACAGGGTATTACACAGTGGCTATCAGTCCTGGCATGTCTGTAATATTGACTGTATAGGTGAGACAGTGTGTAAAGTATGACTTTGATGAATTATTATCAATATATATGTGAGGCAGCTTGGTGGAATCAGGCTCTCGTCAAATTTTTGGCATGTAGAGTTATTAGTATCATCGTAAAGCTTGTTCACTTGTCTTTATTTTGATGAAAAAAATATCCATTTATCTTGAATACAAGTCGAGATATTTGCGAAAGAAGGAGGTGGGGGTCCTGTTTTCAGAGGTAAAATTTGTGAGAAAATGGCCGCCAAAGATTAGTTATTTCCTTAGCTTAAGACTCCGTTGTAACTGAAAATTTACATTTTTGTGCCTTTAATCAAAGCTTTTCAGAAAAATCCACACAGAAATGAGTTCTTTAATGGGCATGAAAGGTGTTGAGTCAAAAAACAAAAATTTGATAAAAATTCGCAAACCTGTGGAACAATGCAAGTTTCTTCACTTAGATTTTTTGACGAGAGCCTGATTCTACCACGCTGCCTCACATATGTTATGTGTATGGTACTTCCCATTTCTCTACCAGAATTTGGAAAACGGTATTTAATTCATTCATGATATTTTCTAATCCACTCACTACTAAAACATGAGTGACGTGAGACTTGCAAATAATAAAGAGCTTACTTTTGTGGCCGCTCTCTCTGCGAAGAAAGCATATCTCTGTGCCCTGGACTGACCGCCAGACATGAGTTCAGTAAAGAGCTGTCTCTCAAGTGCACAGCTTTCCTCATAAGGGAGCTTCACAGCTCCTTTTACAGACATTAGGCAGTTCTTAGATAAAGAGAAAAAAAAGTGACATACAGTTATGATGAAATATGTTAGTAAATTCTATCATCATCAGTCATAAGTGGAACAAAATCATTATGCAACATAACTTTCTAAATCTGATTTTTGACGTTTTCGTGACTGTTTAAAGTGAAATAGTAAAACTAAAAAAAAAGAGATAGAAACTTGAAGAGTACCCTGATAAGAAATTATCTGTTTGAAATAACGCAGAAATTTTTCATGCTCTAACAGTTCTTCTTGATATTATAGTAAACTCTTATACTTAAGCAAAAACACAAATTTGACAATTTGGATCACAATTTTACTCTGCAGCTTAAGCATTTGCAGCATAGGTGGGAGGGCATCCCACATTATAATTGTAACAGATCAAACTGATTCTTCAGGCAAAGAAAAACTGCCAGTCAATGAAACATACAACACTGTGGAGACAGAATAATGTGTTTTTTTAATGAAAGAAAACTGATGGAAGAAATGTAATCTCCTTGAGAACCTACAGATTCTCACACACAACAAAAGATAGACACTTTTGTTTTTCATACACATAAAGGGACTAAAAAGCTATTCACAAAAACAATAATCGAGAACTAAACAGTGAGGAAATATTAATCCAAACAAAATTATAAACAGAGATAGAGAGAGGAAAACATTACCACTGGAGCATTGAATCCCTTGAACCGTTTTTTCACTTCAGCAAGGGCACCTGTTTGCACAAAAGAGGACAAAGTTGTGATTTTGATTTACAGTGCTACTCTTCTACCTCAGAGATTAGATACAGAAACCCATGTCTGTGGTGTAATACTTAGGCTTTTGCTGTTGTGCGCGGAAGACGTGAGTTCAATTCAAGAATTACAAGTTTTAAAAATGTTTCATATGCGTCTGTCTGCTGAGATGTTGTTCCCCATTCAGTCAGAGTTAGTCCTCACACGCGGGGTTGAAGCACCCTGCTTCCTAAATGATCAACATTGCATCGGTGAGGTTGTAAAACCTTACAATTACAGTTTTATTCCAAGCACAGATGATTGAGAACAAGTCGGACCAGCCTACAGCTAATGTGAGAACTACATTGAACAATATACAAATATTCTTCTAATAGAACTAAATTGGACAAATCTTCAACGCAAAGAACCAAGAAAAACTTTGCTATAACTCATATTCATTCTATCAGCTGTGGAACACTTGCCCTAAAATACAAAAGAACCTCACCCTCATAAATAGCATCCACACTTTCAGCTCCCTTCGGTTTCACATACTTCAATCTCCGTCCATCCAGTGGCTTGTCCTTCACACTCTCAGCAAAAAGTTTGGCTTCCTTTAGAAGATCTCCTTCGACAACCTGACAATGACAACAATTTTAGTAAAAGCAATAATGATGATGAAGATAATATAATTACTAACAACAACAATAAAAATAATCATTATCATTGTCAAAATCATGAAGATAAAATAATAATGATCATAATAGCCAACTGAAAATATGTATATATATTTAAAAAATAGTAATAATAATTATAGCAACAACACAATAAGACCAATAGCAATTGCCATTATGATAATGATATCCGATCAAACCTCTTTCAACCACCAGCTCCAGGACCCTGACAAAGCAGGCACTATTGGGATGTTAGTTTTGTGAAGGGTTCTTCTAAATAGAATTTTGTCCTATCAAATTATTTACCATTCTACACACACCAAATTTAAATAAACAACAACAAAAACAGTGCTTTTCTGAGCACTAAGCTACAACAAGTACAAAACACTCATCTACATGATGAATATGTCACAGGTCTACCGAGCCACTTTGTCAAATAGATTTTAAAAAATGTCTTGCTTCCCTTCTCCCATGAACTCATTCTACAGATATTTTCCTGACCATAAATTCTACATTTTTAAAATCATATTTGTTATAGACAAAGAAGAAAAACTTTTAGGGAAAGGATATCAAGCTATAACCACTAGCAGAACACAAAGTTTGACGTAATAATTTAAAAAAAACATATTCTTAAAATAATAATAATAAATACTGGCTTCCCTAAAAGACTCACGTTCAATGAAGTAAAAAGAAATTAAAAGCAAAAGCTGTGAAACAGTATTCATTTTCCTTTCAAGGATGTAAATAAAAGAGCAAAAGAAAGCAATGTCCAGAGGAAGGGGGGAACTCATACTACAAGATCTGCAATTGTGACCAAAGGGGTAAACTTTAAATAATGATCAGTAAGTATCTTCTATAATCACACAACACATATAATACTTGTTTCAATAGAAATGCACATAATTTACTGGAAGGTTTACTGAAATCATCCTATAGTGAAAAATGACAACCGTAACTAATATGTGAATAAGATAATGGATGGCTAAATGAATTGAAAGAGGGGAAAAATGAAAAAAAGGGAACCGGGGGGGGGGGGGGGGGGGGGCCAATATCATTCAGAATAAGACAATTACTCTTTGTTGATTGAATTCTCATTATATTTGGAAATAAGACATCTCTTACTTTGTCCAGAATGCCAAACTTCAGAGCCTCCTGGGCTCCTACTCTTCTGCCAGATGAAATCATTTCCATAGCAACAGCAGGGCCCGTTACTCTAGGTAGCCGCACAGTCCCTTCTGCACCTGGCAAAATGCCGAGAGCTACTTCTGGGAAGCCCACACTGAAAATCAACACAAATCATTTTGCATTATAATGATTTCACATCTTTGCATGTTACTCCAATAACTACACACTTGCTAACCTACGTTCTCTTCTTTCTAAAGTCACTGATTTTTTCAAAAGACTTTCTTATTCCTGCACGTGAATATAAGAGTTCTTTTGTATGGAAATCTCATGTAAATAAAGTTAAGCAAAACAAGGCCGAAATTAACTCTTTCCGGGTGTAATTGTTTTGGGGTTTAGACGTTATTAACTTGTGACTCGATTCAGCTACATGGGTGATGTACAAAATAACTTCATATAAGCAAAACCATCACTCAAAACGTAACATATGATATATCAAATTGAAGGAAATTGAATAAAGAATACATCCCAACATGAAACAAGGATTAATTTTGAACATAAGTAAGCATTACAGGGGTTAGAAATGGTGATGGTGGTGAGAAAAATACATTTGATGGACAAAATTACACACACTAAACATGTGAAAGCGAATCAGCATAGCTGTCTTATCATATACAGGCCCAGAGCAGACTCCAAAAAGTGTTGAATGTGCAGCTTTTTATTTGAATGCAATATTCCAATTTTTGTTTGAGTTATGATGCTTATACTGTTCGGTTAGATCATTTTGTTGATGCAAGACCGCAAGAACTAATTCGCTCGTTCTTCGTCAGAACGACGCTTTGACAAAGTTAGATGTTTTCGTTTCCTAAACCCTTTCCAAGTTTTCAATAACAATAAAAAAGCACTAAAAAATAAAGGATCATGTAAAACGAAACAATACTTAGGCACTCCATCACAGCCGATATATCGGCAATACTTAAAACAAGGGGTGTGGACTCGCACCGATATATCGGCGATACGTCCGGAAAGAGTTAACAAAAATGATGATGAGGATAATATAATTATCGTTCTCTTCTTGCCACCGTAACAGCCAGAGACCTTTACGGAACTAGAGAAACAGTAAATGCAACCTCCATTCGACGCAGATTAACAGAAGCAGGTTTAAGAAATCACAAACCCTACAAAGGCCCTGTGCTTACTGCAGCACACTGACAAGCTCATGTAGACTGGTACAACCAACGGTCAAAATGGATGCTCAGAGATTGGGAAAGAGTTATGGTTCCTGACGAGTCTAGATTCTACATAAGTCATAATGATGGAAGGAGAAGTGTACACTGATCATCAGGCCATCAAAGAACAGCAACTTCGTAATGCATTGATCTCAGAATGGAATAGCATATTACAGAGAAACATTCCAAGTTTTTATCTATGCAGTGTAGAACACTCGCTACCATTGCAACACAAGGCGGCCATTCTCATTACTGTACTTTTTATGGAAGGGGGTATGTTGAACATTGCACGACATAAACACACAACCCCGGATTAGACCACCTCTTTTGTTCAATATCTGTTGGTAATATGGCCCCACATCCCCGTGTAAACGCTTGTATTATCCATGCCATAGTTTTCATTCCAAGTGCATTTTTTTAAGTGAGTCATTTTTAATGGAGCTGAGTATAAATATGTATTTGAAAAACATAGATTTTAACAAAAGTACACAAAAAATAGTTCTTTTTCTACGTAGAGGAGATCCCTTGAGGGAAAACCTTCATCATTATCTCAGCATGCAAATATTTCATGAGTGGGTCATTTTTCACTACATGTTATAAACAAAGAGGCTCTCTGCCCCCGAATTTCATAGTTAATAGTACAATGGTTAGGCTCTTCACACCATTGTATGCAGAAGACATGAATTCGACTCTGGCACAGGAGATGTTATAATAATATAAAATAGCTCAGTCTATCTACCTGGATGCTGTATCTCACACAGCTTGGGTTGGCGCTAACAATCATAGTTAAAGAAGTAGATCTATCTGTTCTTATAATTTCAACAGTCATCTGTCCTATCTTATATTTTGTAAAAGGCAAAAGGTGTCCTTTATTGTGGAATAATGTAGAATGCATAAAATGTGTACTAATACTAATCCCTAAGCAATGTGAATTTAGACATTAACCTTTTCAAATTAGGAATCACTTTTTGGTTTCAGCGTATTAAACGTCAAAAATAAAACAGAGTCTTATAAAGCATGTGTTCTATTACTTCATTTAAAATTGTTTGCACTCACAAAATGAACATTATCAAAACCATTTCATCATTTAGCTGTAAAAATAAATGTAACCCAGTCAGATCCTCTGATCATCATTACCTGCCCTTTTTGCTGGCAATTCTGTAATGAGAGAAAAGAGCTATCTCAAGACCTCCTCCGAGAGCAGCGCCATGCAAAGCACTGATGACTGGTTTTCTGCTGGCTTCTATAGCACGTCCTACCACCGTCAGCCATGGTTCTGTAGAATACAAGCATATATATGTCTAAAACAAACAAATCACATCACACATAAAGCTTTCCAATTAGCTCTGACCTTTCAAAAAAGACAGATAAACTGAAAGATAGGCAAAAGAAATTGTATATATGTTCACAGAAATAAATCTTGTGAACTGTAATCACCCCAACCCCTTTTCTATTTTAAAAAGCATAAAACTGGCTTTTACCTACATATCCAAAGGTATACAATAGACAAAAACCCAATAACTGCATTTTAATTATTAATACTTCTCAAATTTACATAATATAAGACTTATATCAAGTCTGTTGAGTTCAGATTAAAAAAACATAGTATATCTAAAAAAACGCATTAATCCTATCCTAGTCTGGGTTTTACAAGAGACTGGGTTGTCCATATAAAGATAAACGAGAAGAAGAAGAAGAAGACTTCTTCCCCTTTATAAACAGACACAATTGTTATCTGTTGCAAAATAGGAAATGGAAAAGTTTTATCTTTCACTATTGGGTTCCTCTACTAAACAAATGCGTTCAATGTGTATCACTGCAGTATAATTTTTCATGGATGTTTGTTTCCTATAAAAACAAATTGGCCCATGCTACATGCAATGACATTAAATTTACCCTTCACCTTCAGGAGTTTAGTATATTCTGCAAGTATATCCCTGACTTGAGCTCTGAACAAGAGAATTTATACAAATCATGTTGCAGAAGTGAACATTGGTATATTTAAACTTGTAAACAATCAATTTTCATAGGTATTTCAAAGCTTCACCTCTGACTGGCTTGTCAAACTCTGTTATATCTGCACCCGAAGGAAACGTCCTTCCCTTCCCAATGATGATGACAGCCTTGACCTTGTCATCACGAGCAGCTTTCTCAATGCCGTTCAGCAGGCCTTCCCGAACTCTGTGGCTGCAGAAAGAGAAAAAAAGGATATGGCAGTATTAGAAATTCTTACAGAATCAACTAATCTGTCCAATCAATGTACCAGTAAAAAGGGTACAAAGCTAAAATTCACAACGATAAACATTTTTCAAATGTGGACATTTATATGCTGTTGTCACCTTTAAAACACTTTAGTGTGTCTTTCAGTTGAAAAGAAAGCTAGGCAGTGGTTTTCAACTCTACACAAAGAGCAAAGATTCGACAAATTTAAAATTTCATTTTGACTTTGACATGATGGAGAACACAGCTGACAGTACTGCAAGGTCCATGGCTCTCCATGTTTTTGAAGACATTTGTTAAAATAAGTACTTTATCATAAATAAGTGCTTTATGTCCCCGTCAATCAATTTAACCATAGAAGGCAGGCTGCTTGGGATAGAGCACCTCAATAGGCAGGGATTGATACTCGATAAAATACTTTCGTCTGCTCAAAATCAAACTCATGACTCATATGTCATTAGCATAAAAATGTGTTACGGCAAACAGCCTAAACAGAACAGTTACACCACAGACACCAGTTCCCTTGTTTGGTATGAGGGTAGAGAAGTCAGTGTTTACATTGCTATTATTTTTGGCATTTTTGCCTGTCGAGGGGATGCCCACTAGCGTGATCGGGTCGGGTCGGGTCGTTTTCTGGTGGTTTCAGTGCACACTACAGCCCCACAGCGATCGTACCCGACGACCTGGAAGTTAAAGTACAGAAACCTTTACCTCAAGTGGTTTCCAGAGCTCCTTTTCGCAGTTCCCTGTTGCAGTGGTGCGGCAGCCTGGAATCCCATAAACATGGGTTACATCGATAACTTTCTATGATAATTTTTTAGTCGATGGACTCTCCATTATTGTCAACTGTTGATGGTATTTCGCGCGGAAATGCCCAACCTTGACATCACATTGTCAACATGGACATGTGACTCAGCCTTGTATGATTGGCTGCAATTAAATCACTCGATCGCGCGACTTGCAGGCCTGAAAACAAACGCGTTTGTTTTTGAAGGTCACCAACTGAGTCGATCGATTCGTGCCATGATGGCCGTTTAGCGCCCTCAATTTGGCTAGCCCCAACTACCAAATCGACCCAACCCGATCGTGCTAGTGGGCACCCATTAACCAAATAGACAAGAGCACACTTTCTTTACAGTTTTATGCATTGAAAGCACGCCTCCAGCATAAACATACTATATGAGACATAAAAATATAGCCGTTGGCCCAAAGAAGCTCGCTGCCTCGGTAGGGCGGCAGGGTATCAAGACTCAAATTTAAAGGGACAATTTGTGTGTCCAACCAGTTATAACGGTAGGCCCTTTGCCCTATTTAATAACGAAGTGACTATTTCTCTGAACGCTCGGGAAAATAAACTTGACGTCTATTTCTCTGAACGGTTTCAGTTCTCGAGATTTTTTGGTTATTTGCGAGAGTTCGGCATCATCTTTAATTCTGCCACTCTGCAAGGACTGGGATAAGAAGTATTTTCTGCATCGAATTCAATTTCCAGAGCTGGAGATTTTTAGATGTCTGAATATTCAGATACTTCAATTGTGGTTGGGGCAACATTCCTGGACTATACTTCATTTGAAAATGCCTTCAAAAGGAAGTGCGAGAAAACAAGACAGCGACTTTGACAGTAACCTATTATAATGCATTTAATCACCCCTAAAGCAAAAACTAAAATCCCTCCTCGCCCCCACGCCCTGCCCCCTCATCCCCGTTCACACTTATAAGTTATATACACACACACACAGACACACACACACACACACACACGCCTGCGCGCGCGCAACTCCATTCGCAAGTAGGCTAATCTAATTTTAAAAATCTCGAGAATGGACACTGTTCGGAGAAGTAGAGCTCAAGTTCATTTTCTCGAGTGTTCGGAGAAACAGAGCCAGCCATTTAATTTATAATATAGGCCCTGATCGTAACACTGCCCCCACCCCCCACCCCCCTTTTTTTTTCAACCACAGATAATAAACCCCTATATATATAATATATATACTATACTTTAGGCCTGAAGTAACACGATCTAGATCTAGACTAGATCTAGATCTAGATCTAGATCTATATCAGACCAAAATCTAGAATTCTGGAACCTCCGATACCTTACTTTCTGATTTCAAAGAGTCTTTGCTGATTTCAACTTACCTCAGAGCGTTAACCGGCGGGTTGTTTACGGATAGAACGGCAATATTGCCGTCCACTGCATAGTCAACCATAGTGTTCTCTCTGAGGTATCAAACAGCGACCAGGGGCATCAGACTCTTACTTGGCGGCCTAAAAGTGCTGGATTAATAAGCAGATCTAAGTGCATCTGCATTCACCGTATTTGTAATGTTGTGGAGTCAACAAAGTAGCATCGGTGTCAAAGTACGATGCTTGGGTTGTGTTACGGTTTATGGACCTTGACCCCTGGCCCCTGACCCGTCACAGACAGGTTCGGGGACGGTGATTTCCTCCGATAACACCAAAGATCCCATCCTATCATTATTACGTAATTACTTTAAGGAAAAGGGACTCATAGAGGCCGGACTTTGTAATAGAGCCTTCATTTTTTTTTTATATTGCCTAATAGTTATAGTATGGGATCGTTGCTTAAAATTAGATCCTAATACTTATAGAGCTAAACCCATTTTGTTTTTTGTTAGGATGGGGTGTTTTCGTTAGAAGGGTGATATTACATATAATGTTGTTCCTGATTGCATGCCCCCCCCCCCCCCTTTTTTTTGGGGGGGGGGTGTGAGTGTGTGTGTGTGTGTGTGCGTGTGTGAGAGAGAGAGAGAGAGAGAGAGAGAGAGAGAGAGAGAGAGAGAGAGAGAGAGAGAGAGAGAGAGAGAGAGAGAGAGAGAGAGAGAGAGAGATCTTTCAGGATGTTATTGATTGGGGTTGAAAAAAAAACGTTAATAAACTTTTTTTTTTAATCAAGGCATTGAAGGCTGTCAGTTTGACGAGTCGCTGGTGTGACAATGTGTAACAATACTGACAATGACAACACCATCAGTGACTCGACCAGTATTTTCTTTCTGTGCCAACTGGTGATTGCGGTTTTACTTCACTTATGAGACCTATCGGAGACCTGTCCGACGTCCACTATAAGCCTATTATACTACTATTGTACTACCAAAGAATCTCTACTAGAATCTTTGGTACTATCAGAGAGTTTTGTACTGCGTTATTATACCAATGGGGCAGTGAGAGAGTGCAGTAACGTCTACAATGAAAATAGCATTTTTTCTTTAAAAAAAAGGATATTCCACATTTGAGTTCTCGAGACAAGACCAACTGATGATTGAACAGGTTTTCCCCGCACGCATGGGTCTAGCACCGAGTCTCCAAAACCATCGAAATTCGCTGCACGTGAAGCCAATTTCACGAGGCCGGGGGCGAGTCCAGAAATGTATTAGGTTGCGCCAAATATTTTGCCATTGGCCCTGGTTGAGTGGAGTGGTGGGTTAAAAACAAGAAAATATCCATCTTTTCTTTGTTGTTTTGAATGCACCCCCCCCCCCCCCAAATCATATAAATCTACGTTTTCAATGTCAAATTTATCAAAAGTTTGTTACTAAACACCTCATCGATTGATGTAGTAAATATATACACACTCTCTCACACACACACGCAAACATTCAACGTGATGACTGGGTTAGCTACCCCAGGCAGCAAAGGGACCAAGTTCTCTGGCGTGACTAGCCTACTGCCTGTGTGTTAAAATATGATCCCAGGCCGAGGTTCAAGGCAAGGTGTTTGGTTTACGTCCATTGACTTGTGCGGGTATAGGCCGCTTTAGATGTGTGCAAGCTCAGACTGACGTCAGTACTAATATTCTCATATAGGACGTACCCAAGTAACACAAAAACTTGAGAGATAAGGACCCTCACATTTGTTCTATTTCACATTATGTAACACTGCACGAGCAAGCAACAAGATCAGGTTTTGCTATCGTGACCAATTACAATTAATGCCCCCGCCTGACTAACTTAGTAACTAGGGATCACAGAACTAATTAAATTTCTTTAATCTTAGCAGTCATCATCATCATAAAGTGCAAGATCTCCTATTCCTATCCTCCTATCTACATGTTTATTCCACCCCCTTCCCCCCCCCACTTTTACAACTTACAATAATGTAAACAAACTCTTGTGATGTCCAACAGAATGTAACTGTGATAGAACACCAACGTTACTCCTAAACATTTACACAAAAACCCACTTTTTCCTGTTGCCTTTACTTTCGTTTTTCCCCTTCTTGACTCTACTATAAGTATCACTTATAAGTCAGATCACTGTGTCATGAACCCCCACCTTCAAAACGTACGTCTTAAATAAAGTGCTAAACCGCCTCTGAGAATTATAATAGTGGATGGTTAGTGGGTACTCTGAGGTGGTTTGCTCCTTCTTTTCTATCTAATCTCTATCGACCTGATATCTCCTTTTTTGTGTTTGGTACCTTCTTGTGGTAAATTGTAGCACCTCTAATCTTCGACACTTAAATGATCTAATTGTGTTGCAAGAGCCATAAAACTCTTTCTAAAACTAAATGAAGCATAAAAAAAATTGTGCCAACCTACTGACTTTTAGATTGTTTTTAAGCTATATCTAGTTTAACGGAAGGAGCTACCCTTGAGGACCATTTTCTATGTTTGTTGCCAGAGATCAAATCTGAGTGCACACATAAGTTAGGCATAGGAAAGTCTCTTGATACCCAATTTTATTTCAGCATAGCTACACCGGTCGCTATAGAAACAGCCCTCATCTTGAAAATGAACAATGAATTTTAAATCCTTAAGGCTTTCTTACTTACTGATCAAATTTGACCAAATTTGGTGAGAGTATACCTGAACCAGACCCTATCAGCGTAACAGCAAGTTTTTTTTCAATAAGTTCAAAAGAAAAAAAATATGAGAATTTTCCCAAAGTATAAAAAAAACTTTTCTAAATTTAGGTTGCGTAATTGCTAGCCAATGGAAAAGTGTTATTTTTTTCACAAATATCTCTCTATTACATTGATGGCAGCTTTGCCATCTATATTTCCTGAAAGTTTCATGTTCAAAGGATGAAAACTAAGGAAGAAGTAGAGAAAAAACTGGAAAAAAATGACATTTTGCGAAAAACCACCCATTGTGTAAACTAACCCAACCTCATGTTTTCAAAGGCAATCTACGAGAAGAATAAAGACTCTCAATGGTCTCTATGCTATTTTTAGACAAAAAACTGGTTGATCTTAAAAAATCAGCCAACATCTCAATTGGCATAGCCTGACCCAATATCTGCAAAATCAAGGGTCGCTCCTCCCCTTAAGATTAACAAAAGGATAAGAAGTCAACACAGCTTAATAATTAATAAACAAGGACAATTTTATAACCATAATTATTGACATATTATAATATATACTGTATGTAAACAACTCCGTCACCCCCCCCCCCCCCCTTTCCCCAAAACATGAACTTGACAGAGAATCATTTTTGTTCATTGAGCATTCCAAATACAAACTCCTAAGATAGCTGGAGTGTACATAAACTAACAAGGAACTCATCAGAATAGACAAAGTCCTATTTGGATTTACCCATTTCTTCTGGCCTTTAAAACCTGTCCTACCCCATGCAACGATAGTTCTGTAATAACTGTACAACCATAAACCTTCACATTTACAGTACCAAAGGCTCATATAGTGAAAAAACCCTCAAGTACCACACCAGTTTAGAATGCTGAAGCCGTGGTAGAATTTTTAAAAATAAAAAACAACAACCTTGGCAGCCCAAGAAACACGACTTAAAAATTCAAAGAGGTTCATCAACTATTCAGCTATCATATAGAGTGACTTCCTTTGGTATTTATTTCAGTGCAGTAGTCCATTGTTTAATTATGTTTAGTGTACCTCGTTGCGTTGGTGACTAAAGTCGCCAGCCGTAGTGAGCGCATACTAAAGCCTGGCGACTAAAGTCGCAGATGGTACTGTAAGTGTTTAGCAATAAAATGGCACCAAATAAGTTCCAATTTACCCCCCCCCTCCCCCCAGGTCTGTAATAACAACACAACTGTATACATTGCACAAACAAATATAACAACCAAAAATTTTCAAAACTCTGCTCTGAAACCCCCCCCCCCCCCCCCTTTTGCAGACACATGCTGCCTTTAAATCTGGTCTAACAAACTGAAGCTACAAGACAGAAAGAGAGAAGACAAACATAAACATCCGCAACAACAAAGTCTGGTTGTGCCATCTACAGAGGATAATTTAACATGACATCTTGTTTGGCCAACTCCAACAACATAGGGTCATCGAAGAACTTGTTGATGCTCACATCCTCACTCAGACCCTAAATGGAAAGGAAAGATGAATATGAATACGATATCATTCATTACAATAATATTTACATGATGATTGTATGTGAAATAAATTTAAAAATGTATTTTCTGATTAAAACACCATGCTATGTCATGTTATGCTAATGTTTAGTTAAACTTGTATCAAATTTCCAAACTTCAGTACTCAAGATATGAAGAAAAAAAATGTTTATTATAATTTGAGGCAGATTAAAAAAGATTTCCATTCAGACTTTCTACTTCAAATCTCAACAGCACTAGTGTCCTGCTAGTATGAATTCTCCCAATTCATTTATTGAAATCAAGAAGAAACAGCCATTTGATCTTACTTTCCTTCGGATCAAGGATGAGAATTAAACAAAACTCACATGCTTTCCACCATGCCTGCTTGCCTGAACCTCCCTCTAATCTAAGTGAAAACAATTTACCGGCACAAGCTTATTGAGCAGAGAAAAGAATGTACATCAGACCAACTTAAAAATCCAAAATGTAATTGAGCACTTGACATCTGCTACAGTGGAACTCGGATTTAACGAGCTCGGATTCAACGGGATGAGACAGATTCACCGTTTTTTCTTCTTCTTTAAAACCAATAAAAGTAACCCGGATTCAACGAGCACTTAAATCAGGAAGCTCGGATTCAACGAGGTCGCTTCCAGGGTGAACAGCCCCCGCAGACGTGGCTTCACTAATATTTCTCCCAGAACAGACTTTATCTATTCCCGGAAACCATCCATTGCACCTGTAACATGAACCATTATTCACTTAACCGATTGTATGCGACCAATCAGCAGCCTTTTTAAATACCCACACATGTGTTGTTGGCACATGCTCGTGTCTACTCTGGCGTGTGTCAAGGTCGGATGGGCGGCCTGCACACGTGTGGCTGTGTGTGCGTGTTGGGGGGCACTAGCGGTCCGGGCGTTGAACGTAGCATATATACAAACGCGTTAGTCTTTTTTTCGCCTCGCAACTGATTATTATTACAATAATAAGCTAGTCTTAACATAGATCTACGTAATGAATTGTGCGCTGGTCTATGGAATCAAAAGTTACCGTATGCTAGGCTCTACACAGCAACACAACTTTTTGGTAAACAATCGAGATGACACAGGCGTGTGTATTTGAACGAATCAGTCTTTTTTTTTACACAGCTCAAAATACGACGGCCTTTCAGGCACTACTTGTAACTTCTCTTGTACATTACTTGCTCAGTGCCTGTAATTATCTACACATAACCTCGTGTTTGCTATAACGAACACTCGGATTCAACAAGATTTTAGGTCAGGCCCGATGACCTCGTTGAATCCGAGTTCCACTGTACAGACGTGTCAGGCTTCGTACCCTGGATCTTTTGAATGGGAGGCAAACATCATTCCTCTAGACAACGAGAGCCCCCATCAACCAAGTTTATAGCAAAATATTTACTATATATGTAATCATTACTAATTTCCTAGTTCGAACTGAAGAACCCACATGAACGCCTGAATGTGACAATTTTACTTTTCCCTGCTCCAAACGCACGCCTCAGCTTACTGATGTGCACGCCCCAAGTGATCAGTTCCTGTAGGCTCAGTGCAGTATGCATGGCTTAAACTTTGACTCAAATGACTCAAAGGGGTAATAAACATTTTTTCTTATCAGCTGCCATAACAAAACACTAATTAAAGATTTTTCACCACTAAAAAAAATAAAATAGGGAAGAATAAACAAGAATTGTTAGGAAAAGCAAACCTTTCGTCTTCTCGTCTTGATCATGAATTCTCTTGCCAAATAATTGGCAGGCTGAGCCTCTAAGGGTCGAATGTGCAGGGATTTATCCAAAGGATCACCAGGAACAATCTGTAAACAGAGAAACATGTAAGTACCAGCAGACAGGCAGGAGGACAGTAAAGGAAAAAAATAATAATTAAAAATAACATCTACAGTAATTTTGGTTTTTGCAGATTCATTTGAACATAAAGCATAAATAAGAGCTGAAACATTTTCAGAAAGAATATTTGTACAGGGGGAGAAAAAAAACCAATATTGCAATATTTTCTTGACGATTGAACACATTCAAACTAACCAGGCAGAGAGAAAACAAATTACAGTTCTTCAATAATGGTGGCCTGAGAAAAGAAAGATTGAGAAAAGATGGCGGTGTACTGGGCACGTGCTAAGGAAGCCAATCCTTAAAGTGACAAAACAAAGCCATATACCCAGGGGGAGAGGAAGAGAGCAAAGCCCAGCTCAACCTCGGACCGAGATCTGGAAGCAGATCTTAGGCATAGGGAGCACTGCTGGCTGGGGTAGAGATGACTGCCCATGATAGAGACAAGTGGAGAGCCCTTCCTGACCACCAATATCCAATACCATGGTTAATGAAGCTGCTGCTGCTGATTTCCTTGACGATATAATGAGCGGTGGCATTCATAAATTGACCAGTTGGTATCACGGTATGGAAGATCAGTATACATTTCCTTACACTAAAGTAGTGATAATGAAAAAGCTTGATCAAATTCACTATTCATTGTTACCACTGAGCTATCTCAAGATGACCGACATCAGTCATGTATCTCTACAGACTGAAAATGCTGAAATGAAAGGCAAGACCTGATCAATCTCATGGGACACTTTGTTCCTCACCTGCCAATGATGGAAAACTGAGAGGCAAAAAGCCTGTCCCTGAGTGTGAGTCCTGAGATCTGTCTCAAACCCGAAGGAATCGATGGCTGGCAGGAAAGCCTTGATGGTGTAGAGAGGAGAGCCAGGCACAGGTGCATCCTGTGTCACATGACCTCTGCACAAGGGAAAAATGGAGAAAGCCAAATTACTTTATTGAACAAATCTTGTGAATTGAAACATAAAACCATTGTCATCTGATCATATTAACTTTTCTTTCATTGGTAGACATCGTCATTTTTACATTCTAGTAGTTTTTGTTGTCCTATCCAGCAGTCCTGAGGCATAGCGCCATGTTGAAGAGGGTGGACATTAGAAAAATTTGTTCTCTGCTTTCCTTATCTTTTTATTCCACAAAAATACCCCAAACAAACAAACAAACAAAACTAAACAACCCCCCTAAAAAAAACAACAACCAAAAACAACAACTAACAAATCAAGAGGCGGACAATGTATCTTTTATATTTCTATTTGTTTCTAACAAATTGCTTATACTTCAAAATAAGACAGTGGAGAAATGATAATAAAGGACCACTGATCAAACATATTTAGGATCATGATGTTTACTGCAATCCATGTTGATTCTTTCGCTGAATTGATTACATTTAATGAAAAAAGGACAAGGTATAAGAAAATCCAGTTGCCTTCTTTTGGCCAGCACAGTGTAGACAGCAGAGACACAGTCAGCAGGCGCCATCACCTGGACGAACAGGTACGGTTCCATCATTCTAGGGGTGGCCTGGGGACAGAAAAGTGTTAAGTCAAAAACTGACAACATTGGGAACCACAGTTGCAGAGCATTATCTATCATCCCTTACAATATCTAGATATATATTGACTAGGAGACCAGTCCTATTTTATACTAATGCAAACTGGTTGAAAGATTATCATCAAGTAAAAACCATATTCATTTACATTTAGGAAACAGTTCCAACAATTTTACTTAACTCTTTAAAGATGTAGCAGATATATATCCAGTCAGCAGCTTACAAAAGGCAATGTTGACGCAATTTTCAAGTCATCATACAGAAATCAGAAACACAAATTTGCATATTTCGTAGAAAGCATGCTGTTGCCTGCCCTTTTAAATTTCAGAAGGAAAACAGAATTTTTAAAAATCTGCATGAATATTGAAGTTATGCTTCTTTTGAAAGTGCCCCAAATTAGCGTATTTTCATGCATTGTCAAAAAAACCCAGAATGTGCGTCTTCAATGGGATAACGATGTAAAAATGTACTTTTCTCTACACCCTCAGATGTTCAAACTGAGAAGACTTGTTTACCAAAAAAATGAATAAACCTATTAAAAAATACCCACCCCTATTAAAAGTGAACAAAACCATATAATCTTTGCATTCAGCAACAGGTGAATACTCATAAGAAACACTTAACTTTTATCCTAACTTAAAACCCCCCTCCCCAACAATTCTCTGCATCAATTCAAGCATTTGAAATAAAACAAATTATAAAACAAACAAGTAAAGCAAGCTCTGACCATGAGGAAAGCTGAATATGCCACTCTTCGAGCTGTGGGAATGATCTGTCCACCTCCTCTGTGAATCGGTTCATTGGCGATGGTGGCATCAAGAATCTTGAACTTGACATTTCTGATGGCTGCAGACACAAAAAGTTGCTAGTGTAAAAATGTGAGCATAGAAACTCCTTTGCAACATCCACACTTGTCAAAAATTGCCTTTAGATTTCATATGCATGTCTTTAGTATTGAGAGACTTCTTCAAACGAGTCTTAAAATCAGTTATAAATAACACAAAGATCAACATTTATAAGAGGAGGCCATCGTGAAGCTTTTTTTCTTCTAAAATACAAAAAAGTGACAAGATTGATGATATCGAGTAAGGGGCCAATGGTGTACTGAAAGGGAGCTGACAGAAGACAAGAACTTAATAGGATATTTGCTCCTCCACTAAGACTAGTCACTAGCAAATAATAAGGCTCTACAATATCAAAAGATTTTTCCAACTAAAGCTCACACACACAAAAGTAAAGTTAACCTAATGTAAGTGCATGATATTTATAAATCCGAACTGAGAAAAAACATCATCAATTATCAGTCTCCAATGCTGATGTCTTTGGTAAGAGCTTCATATAATGCCAAAATAAAAGTTTATGATAAACGGTAAAAGTTAACATTATTTCCTCCAAAACAGTTGTGAGGCAATGAAACTTGAAGGCTACTGATCAGTAATAACGAAAAAAAACAAAACCCCACTGACATTGACACCTCCATAGTCCCGCCTCTGTACAAAGATACAACAGACATTTTGAAAGATTAGATATCTCGAGAGAAATGTTTTCTAATTAACTTACGTTCATCACACAGAGGTCCCTCCCTGGTGGCCCACTGGAATCCCTGCACGATGCTGTCTTTCACTGTTACCAGCAAATTTTTGTCCACCTACAGACAACAAAATATGAGGGCATCCTTAGTAAGTGCACATCAATGTTAAATTTGAATATAACATGTTGAACATATATATATTTTAGCCCAGACAAAGATATATATATTTCAAAAATTAAAACAACCCCCCAAAATTAAACAAACAACCCCCCCAACAAAACAACAACAAACAGCAGAGAGAGAGAGAGAGAGAGAGAGAGAGAGAGAGAGAGAGAGAGAGAGAGAGAGAGAGAGAGAGAGAGAGAGAGAGAGAGAGACACTTTAAACACTTTCTCCTTACCTCAGATGGCAGCGTGTCATCTACCAAGATATTTGGCCCTGTCGAGTCTGGACCAAAGGCCCAGATGGACCTAGCAGCCAACAAATCCCAGTCATATTTTGTCTGGAAGAATTCTCCAAGCTTTTTGCGTGGCCATGTGATCTGAACCACTTCATTCTCTATGTCTTCCGCTAGTCCTTTTTCCAGTGGCTCAGCAATCATTGTCAACTTGTTTCTGGAAAATGGAAAACAAGTATGAAGGTAAAGGGGTAAACAGGAATGTGGACCAGGAATAATAATAATAATAATAATAATAATAATAATAATAATAATAATAAAAATAATATATTTACATATTTTATTAATGAAATAAAACTTTGAAGTGGGGATAAAAGGAATCTAAGCACACTTTTAGATCTATACCTTTAATTCATATCCACACAAATAGAGATGTATCCACATCCAGTATTTCAAGATCACTGAGTCAGCATGAATTACAATAAATGGTCTCGTTAACAAGCATGCTTTGTTTACAGGACATGTGTGTTAACCCTGTGGCTAAATGCATGGTACTCCGTATGAAAACAACAGAGGGGGAACAGGATACAACAGTGACAGTGAACGTCTTTGAAATCAACAAATGAACACTACTGTTCTTGTTCACATGTGTCCGACTTACCATCGACATTTACATGTTTATGAAGAAAATAGGTCTTCCTTACAACAACAACAAAATTTTAAAAATAAAAATAATGCATATAACAAAGCTCACTTTTTGTTTGGAGTTTCAGCAAAACACTTCAGTGATGATGTTTCAACAACGGTCTCACAAAATGACACAACAGGATCTGCAACTTTGATGTCTGAAACATGAGAACAAAAGACAAGAATCAGCACAAGAACACAAAATTATATAAAGGAAGTGTTTGTATCTAAAACTTCTGATTTTTCCCCAGAAACTACATTCATAAAACTTGGCAAAGTTGGTAATCATTTAAAAAACACACCTCATTCAACCATTTGGATAAATTCTTAAAGCCAAACGAAAATTCATGTTAAATTCAAGAAGTAGAGGGAGAGCAGCAAATCAAAATACATTTTGAATTGCTACTGCTTGTCTACAAGTTCATATTTATAGACATATCATCAATAGTCACATGTTTAAAAATAAAACATTTCATTATAATAATAAAAATTGGATAAAAAAGTAAAACACAAGTCTCCATGAGTACCGCACTGCTTTTAATGAAGAGTCAAGCAGTGCCAAATAACAAAGTCACAACAAATGGAGTCATAGATATCAGGGCTAAAGGTGGGCTCTAAAAGGATAGCTCGAAACATTCTTCATCTTGAAATTTGAGCACCCCTCATTCCAAGGGGCATACTCACATGGAAAGTTTAAAACAATAACCAATAGTTGTACAGATATTTATCCAGCTGCTTCAAGCTATTGATAGGGCTAAAAGTTTACCGGTAAACTGTTAGCATGGATTATCTTTTGACAATTTGGTTGACAAAAAATTTACTAAAATTTTGGTAAATTCCCAGAAATCAACAGGCTAAATTAAGTTCTTTGTTTAGCATTTTATCAAACAATCAAAACCCATCGCCAACGGCACTTTCTGATGGACATTAAACACAAACATCCTTACCTATTTCTGAATACATTTTCCTCAAGTCGTGCATGACACAGTCCAAGTATAGCTCACCGGTGCCCAACACAACGTGCTCACCAGACTCTTCAACCTGACAAAGTTTTAGACACCAAGAAATATCCAAACCATTAGAATTAGAAATAATGTTTGGTAAGTATTGTCAATCATTGTTTCACAAGAAGAAAAGCAAATCAATTTCAGTATGTCAACAAGAAGAAATACCTCCCCACCTCCCAAAAAAAAACCCCATTCAATTACTTCAACTGAAGACAAGACCATGCCTTTTGTCTGTCTTTAAAAAAATCATTTAATCGTTGTATATTTACTCAACAGTAGTTTAAACACCACACAGATTGTGTTGCATATTGCACACAGACTTAAATGAAACATTAATACACTATTGAATGAACAAATTACATTATTAGATGTTTCAGGTGTTATTAGCAGACAGGGCCGTACCTTTGTATTGAGCAATGGGTAGCTTTTGTTCACTTTTCGTAAACCATCCAACATTTTGGGCAGTTCTGATGGGTTAACAGGTTCCACAGCAATTTTGATGACCGAGGCTGTGTTGAACTTCAGAGGGCGGAAGATGTAAACCTAGTGAAGGACAAAGGAAAAAGAGATCTGATAATTTTTTGAATTGTATCATGTTTTTTTTAACCTCCTCCCATTGTTAATGCATCGGTCGCCGACTTCAGATGCAATCTGAAATGGGGCTAAAAAATAGCCAAAAGCAATACAGGTATCTTAAATATGAAAAAACAGTAAAGCCTAGCTTTCACATATTTAACTTTTGATTAGCAATTTTGAATGAACTAAGATGTTATTCTGCTTTGTTGTGAGAACTCAAGGCACTCATGGGGCAACTATAATCACACACGAGTTCACTCATTTCAATGCTATTTTTGAGAAAACAAGGCTGACGGAAATCTTGGGTATTTTCATCAGGTCAAGACACAACTTGCATCACATATTTGGGACCGGGTGCTCAGTCGTCTCAGAGAAGATTAAACCCTCGAGGAGGATTGGGGTTGGTTGTTATCAATCTCCTGTGCACAGTGTAATTTTGCGTAAGACAATACAATCAGCTGAAACTCTTAGAAGAGCAGGTCTGTGCCTGGTCAAAATAAAAAAATGAATCCTGATCAAAATCTGAAGAAAAGATAGAAAGAAAGGACGAAGAACCTTTGAAAATGCCGTACACAGCTGCCTCAAAAGCAAGGCATACTATGTGATAGTAAGAAAATGAGCCAAATCTGGAGAAAAAAAATTTAGTATGAACAAGCTATAGCTGACTTCCTGCGGAAACAAGAGGGAAACATGGATGGCGAAGAAGCACCAAACACATTCAGAAGGTTAAATCACTATGTGGATAAAACACTTGTCATACCTTTCATTCATTTGTACAGAAAATAGCACAGTATCCTAATCAATATATATATATATATATATTTTATACATCCTGTCAAAACTAACATGGTAATCAAAAGCTGTTTCCTTTCGGAATTTTCAATCCCTTCACAGGGACTTTCTTTCGCTCTTTAGTTATTAAGATGGTAGAGTAGATACAGCAATGGAAGGGTTAAACATTCAACATAATCATAAGGGTGCTGCATACAGTGCTGGAAGGGGTGTTCAACCCCTACCATTACTGATTAAGGACATCACATGAAGGTTGGAGAAAGAACCTATGATTCTGCCCTGTTGAAAACCAGCTAATACCTCTTCAAAGCCTGACACATCCACGATGGTCGACGTCTTCACAATGGGCTGGTCCACTCCCTCGATGAGAATCCAGTTACCACTAGACACGCGGCTTACTTCTATCTTGTACCTGGTGATAAAATAGGAGAAAAATGAGGTCGAACTCTGACAAAAACTAACCAAAAGGAAGCTCAGTGACTCTTTAAACTCTTCTCACAACAAACACTATTCATCATACTCAATGCATAAAAACAAGTTATTGTTTAAATGAGATTTTTACTATTTCCCTTTGCAACCATGAAACTACACAATCCAACACAATAAATATAGATAAAAATAACGATCAGTACAAACAAATAAATCAATCATGCTCCATAAAAGATCTTAAGGATATAAAACTACTCAATTACTCTAGTTTCCTTTGTGCACAGAAAACTAAAAAAGATTTTTAACCCCCCCCCCCCCCAAAAAAAAAAAACCCCAAACAACCCAACCACAACTTAATTCCTAAACAAGCATAATGACATTATTCATTTATTCACAGATGTAAACATATACCAAAACATAAATGTAATAAAGTACACACAACTGTGAGTGGGTTAAAAATAAACAGTATGAAACTGAGCAGACAGATACAAAAGATAGCAAATGATGCACAGCTCCACTAACCTAGCTTCAGCAATCCAAAGCCGTCCTACTTGTCCCAGTCTTGAATCTTCTTCATCTTGCAGAGTGTAGTTTTCTCCTAGGATGCGAACCTGGAGAAAAGACAGCAAGACGATTTTGGCATGAGATCAGAAATACAAAATAGGACAAAATCATTCTCAAAATACCTTTATTTACCATGTTTGGTGCCGCAAACATTTTCATAATAATGACAGGAGGATATTTTTAGAACCATGCATCCTGTCCCAGTTTAACTGAAACTTTTTGTTTAAACAATTTTAATGTATCACAGCAGGTGCAGGAAAGAGACAAAATAATCTAACAAGTATAATATTGTAGCTCATCACTAAAATTGGGTATAAACTAGTCTATTAACATAACTCTTACACTAACCTAGTACATAATCTTTTTTTTTGCTTATAAATTAGTCTACAGGCCGAACTTATACAACTCAACTGGCACATAATCTAATAGATTACCTCTTTAATTGCAAACAAACTAATTGACAGACAAAACTTGCACACAATCTAATAGATTACCTCTTGATTTGCGTATAAAGTGCCACTCATGACTCGACCAAAGACATGGAAGCTGGTTCCATCTTCAGTTGGATACAACTTTGTGGTGTGAACCATCAAAGGCCCCTAGGGGAAAAAAAAGAAATTTTTTTTTTCCAAATAACAATAAATGGCTGTTCAGACAAAACTAGGTTATGTCATTATTATAAAAAATGGAAGCATAATAGTAAGGGGAAAGTCGATAGAAATAAATGAACAAATGGCACTTTGCTGGAGAAGTTTGCATTCATATATACATTAAAGCATAAAGTAAGAACGAATGAACTTCTTTGGATAATTACTGACAAATCATTGAATTCTGACTCTTCTAAAATGGCTGACCACCCTAGCACAACAATGACACAATGAAAATACAGGATTTAGTATGGACACTACTAAACCTGTTCAAACCTTTTAATTCAGCCAAATTCTGTTTGTACGCTCAATATTTTTTTGTTGGGAAAAACAAATTCTCCAAGTTCCTGAACAGATCAGATGTTTAGTTTTAGTAAAGGTTTTACGGCACTTGCAACACGAAAAGATAAGAAGACCATATCATAAAGACTGAAACATGATACCATGAAGGACAACACTTAAACACACAATACACGTTTCTTGTCATTCTATTCAGTAAGAAGAACATCATAACTATTTTCCAGACATAACACGGATCAGGTTTCTTCACAGAGACTGCCGCCATGATTTAGTTCTGGATCAGGAATCTGCAATTTACAAATGTCTTGTGCCTATTTTCACATAACACCATACCTCAGCCTCACACTGCACCATTTCTTCAGCCAGATCTGAGTCCATGGGACCGGTGTAGATGTGCTCCACCTTTTTCTTGGCGTTGTCCACAGGAGATGGGATGTGATCCACGCACATATCCACAAAGCCTGAGTCCAAAAAGAGGATCACATCAAAGGAAGAAGTGTCAACTTTAAGCATCAAATCTATAAAAATTCTTACAAAATGAAAAACATGCACTGTGAAATATGAAACTTTGTCATAAGATATGGAATGGCCTTATGATGATTAGATACCTGAATAAAAACATCTGCAAAATGCTGGATAGCTTATGTCCAAATAAGGGTCTAATTTTTAACTTAGCGCAGACAGCAGGTCAGCGCCGGCTTGCTCTCCCTTGACTTTCAATATGCTTGGAAACCAGAAGTCTTTTGCCTTATTATGGACAGCCTCCCCCCCCTCAACAAAACGAACTAAAGTTTGTTTTTTAAATGGACCAACAAGCTGTAAGACCACGGGTGTGAAGTAAATCACATGAAAACATCAAGTTCTTTTACCCCATCCGTACGTCGTGTTTTACTATCGTATCCATACCACGTGGGGACCTCTATGCCCCCACTTTCCATAGAGAAAATTTACTCGGTAATCCAATCCGTGTGCTTTGCATAGTAGTCTGCCAAAATGATTTTTTGAGAAATACTGAAAGTTTCAAAGACATCTTCGCACTAGAAGTATTCTAAAATGAATGACCCCAGGCGTACGTATCGGGTTAATGATCATGCCTACCCATATCTGAATTGACTCAGGAATATTGTTAATATGATAGAAGGAAAACACTCTTGGTCTTAGCACAACCACCCCCCCC